CATGCACACATAGTAGCTATTGATAGCTACTTCATGCGCATGCGATAGCCCCTATGTTGGTTAATCATTATGTGCGCTATATGTGATAGATGAAATATTTCTGATGCCTCCTCTATGCCACTATACTACACTGACAAAATAACAAAATTATATATCAGTACCAACTACCGGGAGTGACCAACACAGTAAAAGAACTTTTCACTTACAAGAACCCTAAATTAATAGCAATATGTATTGCAATTTATAGGTGAAGATGATTATTGCAGTATATTGCAATTCACTTTTGACAATATTGTTATAGCACTAATAAATAACTATGTTTAGAGTTACCTTGATATGCCAGATAAGTGTACCATGATATATTGCTTTATGAACACATTCATGTTAATAGTATTTGGTATCATACATGAAATATCATATGCTGCTTGAAAGACATAGTGTTAATTATCATGCATAATTGGATCTTACATTAATATTATTATTCATCGTATAAATGTTCAGTTGTTCAATTACTACCTAAATCAGTTAGAACTCTATGAACATTTATTTTCAAGCAATAATTTCATAAGAATATCCAAATTGATACATTTCTAAGTTGTGTTTAAAATGTCTGTTTGTTTTGTTTAATCAGTACTTCAAATACTTAATATGGAAGATATTCACATATTAGACCAATTCACTTTCAATTTTAGACCCATCTTCACTAATTTGCATCCTGATTGGCAAGTTCATTCCAAAAGCAAAACAATATATCATGCAGTCAGCTTTGAACTAACAGTACTTAAATGTTTATAATTCAATTGATTTTGATGAAAATTGTCCCATAGAAAAAGAAAGTTCATCTCCACGAACATGCCATTCTTATGAAAAGCACAAAATATTGTTACCACGAAAGTTTCTAGGAATACACATAATGTACATAAAGATCATTGAATTTGAAACAAAAGGTTTTGTGCAAGAGGATACTGAAGTCATATGTATACACTAAAAATGCACTGAAGCCTTGTTTATTTCATTATCTTTGGGTCACGTACCATAGTCAGATTCATAACTATTAAGTGCACTGGTCCTTACAGATGGGAAAACAAAATACAATCTTTAATCATAAATATGATATTTTTAGTCATACATGTATCTAGCTAACCAGTCCACCTAACTGGCTTTCCTGGATAACTAACCAATGCAGTAATTAATTTCTCTGCAAGTATTTTAGCTTACTTATCCAACATGATTTCTGAATTAGAGACATACATGCATATAATATAAATGACCATTGACTTTCAATATTGTATCCAAATCAAAAGAGGACTGCAAGGAACAAACCAGCGACCCCAAGATTACCGGTCCATTCAGTCTGGCCAGGCTCTGTACTGTTGGCCGACTGTCTTATAAATTTCTATGCAACGTTTCTTATGACAGCTCAGCACACACTGTCATTACAAAATTCAGAATGTATAATTATATAATATAATAATTAGTATGACGTAAATAAACATAAAATCTGAAAAATGATTTTTAATACATGTACACCGAAAACATCAAACAGTTAACTGTTAACATAGATTTATCTATTTTATGCTTAAAAGAATGCCGCCAGGAATAAAATCAGCAATTAAAGAAAAAGGTATAACTCGAGACTAACAAACCTTGTTATACAAGTCCAAGATCCACAAATTTCCGTTAAAACCAGTTGCTGTTTAAGTGCCAGAATATAATAAGAATTGCTGCAACATTTTGTCGCCAAATGCTTTACCATTATTTTTCAGATATCTCATAAAAGCATGGCTGCAAAAACGGTAGAATCATAAGCAAGTTCCGTCCAATTGAGAATCAAGAGTACTGTTATGACCAACTGCTGATTGAATGCTACTTTTATAAAGCCAGCGTGGAGTTCCTCAACATCTCTATATTAAAGTCAATTATCTCGGTGCTGTTTACAGTCCGACTTTATCATCAACTCAATAGAAAAAATATTTGTCTGTCATTTTTTTGCGTAGGCTTGAAAAAAATTTAAAACTCCAATGAATTATGCAATAATAACTAGCCTATTATTTATCAGAACATAAACTCTAGTATTGTTCGGTGGCATTTTTAAAGCTTGTGTGTATTGAAAAATCATAATTGCTTTAAAAGCAGGAGTGAGCTCCCAGCAGGAATCCCCATGAAATTTATTTCTGTAAACAGAGGCCTAACATGGTTGCAGACACTATTTCTATATAACTGTCTAATTAAATCTTAAATAAAATATATTACTTATGAAATCCTTCTAATCATATTTATTACAGCTAAATTCCTGTAATGCATTTGGAATGTGTGAAATTCAATGTTAAGAATAGAACCTTCTGCTCCATATATAAGACAATAATACCAGCATCGCCGCCTACCTTTATGTAACTAATTATGTCTTACGTAATCCGTTTAATCAATAGACTTTAGATTATATTGATAATAGGTATGAAGTGGTTCGTAGTGCAAACAACTGGACACCATGGATCGCGGTCATTACTGACCTCCTGACAAAGTCTGTGATAGAAAAAAGTTATCGGAAAAGGAAAATCCACGCAGAGTATACAAGGGGCATATTTTAATAAGTGGCAATGGCAGCGTGTTTTTATAAATATGTCATACCTGTTAAAAAATTATTAGTAGAGTCCTTCAAAATATTCACCATTTATACACTGGCAGAGCGTGCTTCCAACGGCACTATAGGTTTCGAACCAGCCACTGTGAAGTATGGATTTAACCAAAAGTCATAAGGAGAGAGGTCAGGGCTATACGCAGGATATAGCAAAACCTCAATTCTCTGCTCCTTAAAAATGAGCTTTGTGAACCAAGGCTGATTGGTGCGCATGTGCATTATGATTATCATGGCGTAATTTGATCCTGCAGTGCACATCCCAGACCTTGGGTTCTTTGTAATGTAGTGATTAACTACAGCAGTGAGAACATGCCATGGTCACAGTAAAATGTTACAGTGACACTACCCCTTTTTTCTCGTGCTCAAAAAAAATAGAGCCATATTTCATCCCCTCGGGCTTCTAGGGTCTCGATCTTTGAACCTAGTCAATGAGACCATGGCTTTTTAAACCTGTTCCCTTTTCTGGTCAGAATTAGCAAATGTGGGATCCAATGGACAATCACACTTACCTCAATTTAAACTTTTCTTATAAGATGGAAAACACATAATACACACTATGGCCCAATATGTCACTTATCTCCTCCATTGTATAACTTGCATCTTCATCAACTATAGATGGCTTTGACAGTAGTCACAGCACAAATGCTTTTTTCGAAGTAGGGGAAATTGGCCGTCCAGGGCGGGGGTCATCCTTAACATTAGTTTTACCTTCCCTTAAACCTTGACACCCACCTGGCTATAGTACATTTAGGAAGGGCATTTTCTCCATGAACTAATCTAGATCCGTTTTTATTTCTGACACACATTTACCCAATAACCCATGAAGTTTGCAATATTATAAGCTCTTTGCTCCTCTCCAACTCAGCCAATTTATTGTTTACAACCAGTATACAAAACCACATGTATTTAATTGACCTGCTTAAATTTTATTGCACTTGCAAATCATGCGAAAATAGACTGTCTCTGCCAATATGCTGTTAATGCACAGCAGTATTTGGCATTTTTTCTTACTACAATTTATTCATTAATTTTAATATTTAAATATTCACTGATGATATTCTTACAGTTAACTGTTAGGTCTACTCATTTAATGTCATCATAAATTTTATTTAGGCTAAGTCTACTGTATGAAATGATAAAAATTGAAAACTTAATAATAAACTAAGTTCGCAATAAAATAGAGCCCTGAAATATTTCAGCAAAGCGATCAAGTGAAATAAAAAAATTGCCTTTAAGACCAGTTGCCAGTGTAATCCTTTGTCAATCAAATATCCTAAATGTGTGATAAACAGCAATAAATTAAGGATTTAGCTCAATACAGCATTGGAGCAGTACCTCTAGACGCTTGCAGAAATCATGATCACAAAATAGACAAATATCGTTTTTTTTCGCCGATTTTTACATTTTACCTTGATTATCGTACTTGATTCGGTGTGAAAAGATGAATTAGACCTGTTAAAGTTCATTCCGTTGGGTAAAAAGACAAGATTTTAGCATTTTATCATTCAAGCGCTTTGTCCGGTATATACCGGAATACGGTATTTAGTGTGGTGCTCCAATCCTTTTTTTAGTCACAGCAATAAATTAAAGATACCAAAAGTACTTGTGTAAGTGTAAAAAAGCTTGATCTTTATGTACTTTTATTTATTTTGTGTTAAGTCCTAGACCTATATATTTAAACATAAACATTTTTAACTTGATGGCCAAGTCTTCACTTTACTACATGTAACAAAGTGTTTGCCCTATTAAACCATAAATAAATAAAGTCATTATTTCTCAATTTGAAAAATAACATTCCCATCATATCAAACTGAACTTGCAAGACGAATTTAGGGCACCAGACAATAAAGAATAACGCATATTAGGTCTACTGTTTCAATGCATTTATTTCTGTTTCAATGCATTAACTTTTTCAAACAGTTACGGTAATGCTAATTTAATGCATTACATTTAAAAGTATATGTCTGATATATGGCCCTATGTCTCCTTTTCCCCTACTTGCATCATCAGTCTGTTTACAATGGGGGGTTGAAAAGCATAGTTAATGTTATTGTTACAGTGTAACATACATTTAATAACACAAGCATAATATGAAAGTGGTCACCTTAATCAAAGAGTGACAATCAATTGAAAATAAAAATAGCGAATAATTAGGTCGAACTTTTTTTCTGATATCATAACACAAACGTGAAAGAGATGAATTCACTGATGGCCGCTCGAAAACTATAGTAAACAATGTTAGCATAAGTAAGACTTAAATGATTTACAATCAGAAAAGCACATAATATACAGAGGACATTAGATCGTTGGTCATTGCTCAATTACTATGCTCTAAAGTTACGCAAAAAGTATAACTACAAACCTTAATGCATGCATTTATTTTCACAGCGGTAGACATCAATGTTTGTCAATTATTAGTTTACATCGTCATTTTGTAACACGAGTTGCCATTGGGCAGATTTTTATGTCGGAATCGATCATAATAAAAATTTATTTCTTAAACGAAATAATTTATAAAAAGGCATGCTAACGGACAATCTCCACGCAGTGATCTCCCCTTAATGCTTCGGCGTAGATCTCTGCCACCAAGGTCCCGATATATCAGAATTTCTGATATACTATATTTTTTCAAAAACTGTTTTATCTACTGCTTTTATCTATCAGATAAGTTTTCTCTCATTTATTTTACAATGTTTATGAATAAATAAATAAATAATATGAATATTTAGAAATAATTTTAAAAATTATGAGATTATTTTCCACCGAGACGATATTTTGATATTTTATATTTTTTAGCTTTTTAATTTATTTTTCGTTATTTTGTATACTTTGGATATTTTTTTGATAAACTATATCGAACGTAGGCACCAAAAGTTAAAAATAAAACAGAAAGAGAAAAATAACGTTAGAGTTTCTTTGTAACGGTCGATATTTACATTTGAATTTCGACGTTACGTCATGTGACTTTCATCATCATGTGACGTCTTTGAAGGCAGAGATCTACGCCGAAGAATTAAGGGGAGATCACTGTGTGGAGATTGGCTAACGGAAACTTTTTTAAATAAAAAAAATGAATGTATCAGTTACAAAAATATAAAAAATGAAGAAATATATAACATTATTATTATTTTTAATTAATTCATACCACCCTAATTGGTATACCGTGATACAAATGAATAAAACTGATTTGAAATGACAACCACTATCTTTTCGTTTCATTTGATTTGTATTTTGGTAATACATATGGCGTTGTCCGCATCAACCAATCAATAGGCTTTATACAAAATATCTATTTATAGATTCTATTTTTGGATTCACGTGGCGGTCCGCATGTTGTTACAAAAGCACACGGCAATGTGCGTGTCTAGCTCAACTCTTAGATGGATACGTCGTATTGATCAGAAACGTCAAGAATACAAATATGTTCCGTCCTCCATTTGATAACCAGGGGATTGTTAAATAATTACAGTTTTTACAAGACATTTTCCAGTTGTGTACTTCAAGGGGGCGGGGCACTCCGAGTGTCGTTATATATTACAGGTCTATGTACAGGTCATAATTTTACATGTATGTATTCCATATCATTTTTCAGTTAGCCTATATGTAAATTCTGTTTCAAACTTTCAAAAAGGGATCGGGGGCCTAACCATTAAGTAGTCTTCAAACCTCGGATATATATGTCTACAGAATTAAAAAAAAAGTTAATTGTATAAAGTCTATTAAATTATCGCTCGTTTAAAATTAACTTGAGGCACATTTTGCCTCAGAAATCTTTAATGATTAAATTTAGAGCACAGGAGCATGTACGATGTTTGAAAGCTGAAGAAAGAAGTGCTGATTGTGCAAATTTAAATTAATGTGTCGTAAATATAGCAAAATGTGAACAAAATAGTATTTTGACTTCCATGGAAAATACTAATGTAATTTATAAATAGAATTTGAAAGACCCGAGTTAACAAAGCATGCAAAAGAAGCAACAATATATAGTTCATGTACAATTAATGTAAATGGGTATCTTTTGGAAACTAATAAGATACCATTTAAAAATTTTAAGTTTTTGTGAAAAAGTTTAAATAATTCACAATTTTAAATAAGCAGCGTTTTTGAAAGCTTATCGATCAAGCATTAATGATAATTTGGAAACATACTTTGGAAGACTTTATATTACATGTATACATACTGTTTACATGTATTGTACATGTATATACTTATCATAACTTAAAACCATCAATGCAAGTTTTTAACCATCGTCGGATACCCACGATTGATAAACATGTCACATAACATGCAATCAATGAATGATAATGGTTCGGCCGTGGGTATCCGACGATGGTTTTTAACATATATAATTTTTATCACAGACGCTTGGGGGTCAGATCCTGCCCCCCAACGTGATACGCCCTTGTTAACACTCTACCAAAACTATTTTAATATTTAAACACGAATGGGACGTATATTACAACGATAAAAATGGTTTTCAAACAATTTTTACATATATGAAAAAAATACCGTATACCATCAAGTCTCAATACTTTATTGAGACTTGATGGTATATACGGTATTTTTTTCATATATGTAAAAATTGTTTGAAAACCATTTTTATCGTTGTAATATACGTCCCATTCGTGTTTAAATATTAAAATAGTTTTGGTAGAGTGTTTACAAGGGCGTATCACGTTGGGGGGCAGGATCTGACCCCCAAGCGGCTGTGATTTTTATATGTAGACCATATCAGGGGAAGTAATCGCAGCAGTTAAACCAAACTCCCCGCAGCGGTTACTTCGTCTGATCAGTACAGGCACGGATTTAAATTGTAATTTAAATCCGTGGTACAGGTAACCGCTGTGAGGAGTTTGCTGTTAAACCGCCCAAATTTATAACATATTTGATGTCATACACATTTATAGCTGACTTTTAATTTACAGTACTTTGTACGTACCTTGGCATGTAAGTTGTTTACGTTCTGCTTTTAGAACACATTATTTCACATTCAGCGTTATTAATTTACGATTTTAATATATTATAAACATGATTTAACATACTTTTTGTCCCTTCCAAAAGGGAAAAAAATATTTTATTTTTAGGCATAATGTGCATAACTTTTAATACTTATGATTTATCCATACGACAAGTCAAATTTCGTATAATAATATGGCAAATATTATCATTTCAAATATTGCTGCCCAGTTAATTTCTATCGTGTGGAATGGGCCTTTAAATAATGAGAAGAGTTGAAAATTGATAAATATTCCGTTGAAAAATGACACTGAGAGTCCATCATGACTTATCTATTGTTCTGATTTCACTGCAAGTTTAATGGAATATTAAAAGTAGGGGTTTCCATATCATGCCAGTGTATAATGCACATTGCGCTGGGACAAGAAACAATTTTTTCTTTATATTAACTCTTCGAAGGTTTCCGGATACCCCCGTCACTCACTGATTGTTCCTATTTAGTTTTCAAATTTGCCAGTAAAACAGGGTGGAATTTCCACATTACGGGACTATTCGTTGGTTACGGAAACCTAACTAGAAGTTAGTAATTTTTCATACCAATAATATAAATCCGTGCAAATAACAAGTGTTTCTTTCCAACTGTTATACGAACTTCACCAGCTACCACAATTTGTTTAATACTTTAGAAGTAATTTAAGAGATTAAGGTGGTAAACTGATCTGGCCTGCGGAAGTATGTTTTGCCTTTTTGTGAAAGAACGAACTACATCTTCAATAGAATTTGTTGCTAAAGTAAAGTAAATGCTTTTGCTGAGAATTGTATAAGGGGGCTTAACTACAGTAAAAGCTATGTATATATCAAATAGTGTAGTCTCCCTTATAAGGTATGATTCGGGGTTTCTTAAAAATTACTAGTATTCTGTTGTACATGTACATGTGTACTAAAAGAGCAATAAAAGATGTTTGAATCAAGTTTAAATTCTCTAGAAAGAGACAATAATTATTAACCTTCTTAAATGTCAATTATTGGAAAAACATCTTATTCTATATTAAAGGAACTCCACTGAGGTTTAAAGGCCTATTAACATAAAATTGTTATTGCTTTGATCAGCTGTGGCAAAACTATGTAAAAGATAATTAAGAAATGTAATTAGAAATACATTGAAACTATTCTCAGCCCGATTTCAGTGAAAAGCATTGCAACGCTTTTGATTGTTTGGCGATTTTTACAATTCAAATAATTATTCTAGAAAAACGGAGTGAGCGGATTCATGAACTGATATTTTGCACGAAAGTTGTTGGTCTAGACCTTAATCAAATGGAACATTAATCTCGAAAAATTATTTTCAGTACCGTCATGTCCAAAAAAAACCTCAGTGGAGTCCCTTTAATAGGTAAGTCGAGTTGAGTCCCTTTAAAAGGCCGGTCTAGTGTCCAGTCCTTTAATAGACCAGTCGAGTGGAGTCCCTTCAATAGACCAATGGAGACGAAACCGCCGGTCTCCAGAAGAGATACCTCGTAGAAACATTTGTCTTACTACAAATCATCGGGTTCAAGTAAGATATTCCCCGCTACTCCAACGAATATTACTATTAGACTTTTGGATATGGTTTAACCCATAACCTACAAATAGCGACAACAGATATACCCATGCGGCCGGTGCAGACCAATATCAGCCGACACACCCATCCAGTCTGATCGTCTTCTGCTATAAAATCAATAAATATTTTAAAATGGTGAATGATTTAGTCAATTTCAATAAAATATTAAGCGTGATAATGGTTAATAACTCAGGTCCCGTGCATTTCCACTCATGAACCCTCTTTACCTGCTGGAACTAGATGTGATAAGCCTTTGCCAGAAGTATGCAGCCAGTCCAGCCAGCGCGTCTGTACAGTTTGAGTTGGCAAATTAATTATTGAAATCCCAATCGCAACTTTTCGGTCATTTCTGTCAGTCATCAGATAGTCATAGACGATTATACATGTTCCGATTGAAATCACTTAAAATCTTATTAAATTGTTTCAAATCCAAAGCAGGGCGAATCCTTTTCAAAATTCAGTAGGTTAAGGGGTTAAAAGTATAAGTAGTGACTTCTGGAACATATATTTGTGACTAATTCTTTTCTTGCGCGAGTCGATCCTATTCTGGACTTCCAGTGGCGACTACAAATGATCGTACATTATACATACCAGTCTTATGACACTAACACACTACTTGAACACGAGGAAGTCATCTCTACAAGATAATCATCTTAACATAGAAATACACGTCTGGTGTTAACAACGGTGAGTAAGTTAATGGACACCGTCACATGGATACACCCCACGTATTCGACGTATTTCCAAAATCATTACTCGTGCATGTGTTGTTATCCGATTTGAGTGAAAAGCATTGTGCACAACGCTTTCGATTGTTTTTACTTGGGTCACGACCACAGATAGTGATTGAGTCACGACCATCATGGGATGGATCGCACTTTTGTAACGACCTTGGATAGTACTTGGGTCACGACCATGGATCGTACATGGCTCACGACCATGTTTCTTCATATGATATTTGTACATGGTAAGCCCAAGAGCGGTTTTAATATGTATTAATCATATATAGAAGCCGAACTTAATCAATTTTATGCTCCATTCGCATCTCAGTGAATACACTTCCGTTAAGGAAGTGAGCGATAGTGAAACATTCGACCGATGCGGAGGAGGGTAGATCAACTATAATTGCATGATAAATGGGCAAGGACTGCCACGGATAAGGACTGGCACGTAGATATAATAAACTTAAACTGAGACATTTCCTATGTATTGCTGCACTTTTTCATTTCAATTATTTTTAGCTTTATAACGTTTTGAGGACGTTTTTAATCACGTTTTTAATCATGTCTCATATTAATTACAACCGGAAGATCAGAAGTAGATTGTATTACTCAGTAGTTGATATATTAAGAGATAAAAGTCATTTTATGACAGTTGAATATGTCTAATAACTTACTATACAAGCAAAATTTTTAATTATTATCTACATTTTTTTACCATTATGATTTGGATTTATATATTTACTGTGTTAAGTGTGTGCTCAGACTCGATAATAGCAGACGGTAAGTTTCCTGGTGCCGTTTTGTTTAGGAAATTGTGCTGTATCAATTTTGAATACGTTTACATGGTAAAATAACGCGAGGTTCAAGTTAAAATTCACAGTGGCCGATACGGCTGAGTTATTAATTAGAAAGCATATTATGATAAACCGATTGACCATGCGTTAGTGTTCCAAACGCGAGAGAAATTGATATTCATTTCCATTTTAACATTCTCTTACTTGCCGAAGCAGTGGCTCCAACGCTATGAAATCGGACCCAAGGCGTTGAAATAAATTAATTTTGTCAACTCTTTTATATACATTGTTATGTACACTTAACAAATCTTATAAGTGTGCACCTTTTATGTCCTTATAACTTTTTTGTTCATCAATATTTCTTTACAAAATTTTGTGTTCTGACTATTGGCTGTATTTCCACACTTTTCCCGTGCTCAAACTTGAAAAATTTAAATATGCGGCGCGTTCAACCGTGAACGTACAAAATTCACACAATGCACGAAAAAATTGTGTGAATGCGTGAAAGAAAATTGCACATGATATTCTCGTATACAACAGAGATCCCCATATCAGAAAAACATAACATATGGGTACATTATCTATTCAACAGCGTGGCATAGCCCTAGGATTGGTCTACGCTGGAGTACACCAAGCAGAGATTGGTAAAAAATAATTTGTTTATATAATTATTTAAACTCCATTGCATTGTAAAAGCTGAAAATCATTTAAATTAAATTCCTACCAAAGACAAACATAATGGCATATTTGTTTTTTACTTATTACATGTTTTTATCATGTGGAGGTTGCGCAACGCATGGTGTTCACCGCAATGTAATAACAAGGCTTAAGAAGGCTTATCTTCATAACAGAGTAACTGGCAGCGTTTATAACATTCCTCGCCGACCCCAAAATTATCCCCAACGGTATGTTACATTGATGCGACGACGCTCCAAGGCTGTAATGCACAGTCAGAGTGGCACACACGGTTTAAGAACATTATTTTGCAACATCGACTTTCGACACGCACTCACATTTTTTAGAAATACATCTTAAAATTTATCTTGAATAAAAAAAGAAAACGAATTAAAATAATAGTCTGTCTCTTTTCTGTATTTATTGAAAATTTCAGCATGATCGGGCAAATATTGATACACCTATGAGACCATTTATGCATGCACACTTATAAGATTTGTTAAGTGTACATGTAATAACAATACCCGAAATAACAAAAATATGGTCGGCTTGTAAAAATTTAATGTGATGCCAACGTTATTAGAGGTCGTTTTGTACAAAATATTTCCGATTTTAATAACCCCAATTTGGCAAAGCGGCTGCCCTCCCTCGTCAAATTATATAAACAAAGGTGTTTGCATTAATGGCAAAGAATTGCATCGTGTCATTTACGTGGAAGTAGCTGAAAGAGAACATATGTTTAAATATATAGCAAAACTTTGTGTGACAGCAAAAGATCAAGTAGAAGACATATGTATCCACCGCTTCTGCGACGAATGCTTCATGGCCGCGGCGGTTGATCTGCTGCGAAAACTGTTTCCGGTGTGATAACTATAGATTTTGCTACTTTTGTTTACATTCAGGAAATTGCCCGGATGTGGAAAATAAGGACGATGTCACATTCACATTTAATTCGAAATGTTACGAATACGTTGAGAGTATCGACACAGAGGTAAACTATGAGCATACAAATACTAAATATATTTTTTCTGACGAGGTCCAGTCTTAATTCAGTTTGACTTGTTTAAAGTTTGTCTCTAAATTTAGATATCTGATATAATTCGGCTGAATGCACGGCATTTTCATGTGAGTACAACAATACAAGTATTACAGCCAATGCTACGTGGCTTGGTCACTCTGGATCATATCAAGGCTAATTATATAATTATAAGAAACGGAAAATTGCGGAGTGTGCCGAAAATTGTCAATTGGTAACTAAATTACTCCCGCCAATGTACATTAACAATATGTCACGTTGGTAATGTTTTACTTTATCTTTAGGTATCGTTTACAACTGCTGAGGAAGACTGCCGGCTGAAAGAAGGCCGTCTGGTTACGATACAAGACAATACTACACAAGTGGAACTGGTCGAACAACTTGAATACATTTCGGACAGCCATACAGTAATAATAGGTTTACGTATGAAAGGCAGTGAATGGAGATGGACAACAGGTATGTATTTTTGGAAAGGTGATTAAGTGTTGTAGGGTTTTTAAATTTTGAATTGCATATACGGACACTGGCACTGTCACAAGACAATTTTCTACTATACATGACAAGTAAAGTTTTGTTTATGAAAAGCCTTCGACATTAGTTTCTTATAAGTGTATCGTCACAGAAGTTGTCTATTTTAAGTTGTCTATTTTAGGTGACAGTTTGAGTTACAGTAATTGGGACAGTGACACGAGCTGCAATGGTACATGCGCATGCGCAGTGTTCAACTTGTCATCAGGGGGCACGTGGGAGAGATATAACTGTGATGCACCAAGCTGGTTTGCTGTCCATGTGTGCGAATACGGTTGGTAAATTTTTGTTGTTGTTTATCCGTTAATTTTTTCATACAGTAATTTTTGTTGATATATTATTCATGTTTATAACTACAACAGAGTGGGCTTCTTGCTGGGACATACTTTCAATTTGTTTATTTTTGTTTATCTTGCCGACTTTTAAAAAAGGGGCAAGTGCATGGGTTGGGAGACATTTATACTATCTGTTGTATGCACATTAAAGTGTCGCAGGCATGCCCTTAAAGGGTTAATTTTCAAGCACACAGTGGTGATAATTTACCTCCACGTAATTTCTACGAAATATCAGTCAAAGATAATTTTGAATTTTGAGCCAAAAGTAGGTCACTGTACTTTAGGCCAAGGAGAACCTAGGTGTACAGTAACTCGACTTTGTATATCTATCGAGTAAGCCAAGTTATTAACTGTTCCACGAAAGGCAAAACATTTATGGTATGATATATTCCCGAGTACAAGTAATAATCTCTTATGCATTTTAACTACTACTAATCGCAACATTTTGATCCTTTCCTTCATTTTTTGATAAAAGACATATAAGGGTATTACTAGTATTTACTGAAGTTGCTTTTTGAAGGTACTGTTTCTAAGAAAATCATTTCCGGTCAACCTGAGATACGCCAGCAATATATCACAGGTGGCCCATTTTTATTGCCCACTTTGTCTAAAGACATTTCATTTTTGAATTTCCACGATTGCAGGATCATCTAGCAGCAGTTTTTCCCAAAGTTACCAGCTGTTAGGTAAGTGGAACGTTAGATTCATGGTTGATATGTACACTTGACGAACTGCTTCATTATTTATGTTACATTTTACTGCTAATGAACTAGTAATGCATATTGGCGCTTTCCACCGCTAATGAACTAGAACATTATTTAAATGTGGCTTGTATAAAATCGTTATTCATGAAAACATTTTATCATTTGGTACATTGGTTACTTACAGTTGATCTGTCAGGAATTCAAACTCGGGACCCAACCCTTTGTAAGACAACACCGGGCCGCTAATTTGTATGATCTCATCAGGGCTTCCTTAATTTAAAATCTGAAAGTGATCCGGCATTTGGTCGCAACTATATAATTGTTGCATTATTAAGAAACACGCAAAAGATTTAAAATCGCATGCATATTTATACCCCATCCCTCCCTGAAAAAAACCACCAATACAACTCTTGTTTTCATTTCATTTTCAGCAACTTTGTTTTTCATTGTTATGAAAATGACTAGCGTAAGTATAACATAGTAACTTAATTATAAGCTTTAATTATTCCGATTACATGTACATGTATATTGCATGTGCATAATAGTGTATGATTAATGATTACATGTGTATTGTATAATTTATGATAACATGTATGTTGCATGATCACATGACTGAGTGTTGATTGTATGATTTATAAATTTATGTATGATTTATGGTTACATGTATATTGTATAATTAATGATTATATGCATATTGTATGATTACAAATATATTGTATGGTTTACGATTTTGTTTATATTGTCTGATTTATGGCTGCATGCATATTGTATGATTTATAATGACATGTATATTGTATGATTTATGAATACATTAACAGTGCAACATTGATAATAAATAGATAAATAAATAAATAAATAATCAAATTTATCTCCAATCATCTTGTGTGTTACGCATATTTTTTGTTAAAGCAGGAATCACCTGTATAAAGTACGTATATTCCATCTTTTTGTGCAATATCATTAAACTGTAATGCATTTTTTACATTAACAGGAAATTTAATTGTTATTTCACTAACATACTGTTAATTGATTTGAAATCTATGTACAAGGGTATATTTTTATCTCGCATTTCTTGGTCGACAGAACTCGTAGGAGTTTGCACAGTGCTATTATTTTTATTTCAGAGCCAAAAGGGATTTCAGTAACTTGATGGGCCAAACGTTGATGGGTTTTAATTCAACTGTCGTGAAGAGTATGCTAGTTTGGCCCAGAGATTGGCAATCTGCAACATGTGTTTCTTTTATTTAACCTGTATTTTATTGTTTTCAGGAAAGATAACCGCTGATACAATAGCCACTAAGCTTGTAAATCATTGGACTGATTTTGCCGCAAGTGTGACTTACGAATCAGTAAAAATGATCTTACAAAATCAATTATTATTTCATCAAGCGCAAGCTGATGTTGACTTTTTTCATTGTTTTGTTACTTTTAAATGAATAAATTATTCTTATTTAAACTATACATTTAGCTTTTCATGCCTCAGTGTTTTGTTGTTGATATTTAAGTATAAGTCGAAAGGCTCCCAAACTATACTGGTCGGAGAAAAACCTCAAAGCTCCTCCGTGCAATACATATATGGCACCAACTAACAATTGACAAAAACAGTCTACTTCTTCACATGTAAAAATTTACAAACTTCCTGTCGGCATTCGAAGTCTTAGTGACAAGGGACAAGAAGAAATATATTGCCATTAACAACTCGGCCAAGGAAAAATATAATTCATTCAATAAATATAGTACACATGTTTGTTTGTTTGGTTTTACGGCGCGCCAACACATTTTAGGTCATATGGCGCCGAAACAGGAAAAGATGATTTTGGTTTCAAAGTAAAAAGCAACACCAGGGATCCAAACCACCTTACCTACTATGTGGCGTCCGTGGCCGATTGGTTTATCTTATTGTCTGCAAGCCACTTGTTTCTCACTGTTGTGGGTTAAAATCTCGCCAGGGACTTGAATTTCTTCATGTTAGAAATCTATCAAGCTAGCTTAAGGAACTCGGTGGTTCTAATCAGGAACCCGTTCTTGCCTGAAATAATGCACGGAGGGGCAATCACCAACATTGAAAACGGAAAGTCGCCATATGACCTTTACTGCGTTAGTGAGACGTTAAATGCAACCAAACAAAAACCTCATCTGCTTGAGCTAAGAGATACATATATTCCAGTAACTCAAACCCTTTTAGTCGCCTCTTATGATCACGCCAGGAATGGCTACATCGTTAGTGCTTCAACCCTTAGAGCAGCCCTCGGCCACAAGGAGATAGGACACATGTTGTCAGTAAAGAATTGAGAAGTGAAATTTATATAAAGTAATACAGACATCACATGAAAAAAAAAGAAAAGATTTACATGTAAATAATATGGGAAAAATTTGCAACGGCTAAAAGACATCGGCATTGGCCAATATTACAGTGAGAGAAAAAAAAGATCATTTTAATTCGGTGATCAGGTTGTCAAAATGTTCTATACTAACAAAATGTCTTACGTAAGTAACCCTGCAATGAGCGGCATATTTGGAAAACAATGTGTAAATATATTTTCTTTAACTGTTATAGGAATACCGGTATATAGACCACCATCTCTGCCACCAACGTGGAAAAGTCAATCTCAAGATAAATGTAAACATACTTGCAACATTGGCACTTCAAGACTAACTTCTAACCATTGGGCTTGAACATCTTGCAATTTTCAGAACTCTTATTGGCAAGAACTTCGTACATGCAGTAATTATTGAAACAAATAATGGTATTCAAATTCAGTCATGTGGACCCGTTCCACTCTCTTCACGCCACTGTGTCCAAAGTAAAAAGAAAGGTATTAACCACAGGCGTTCGGCACTTTTGTCATACCAACTATGGTCAAATTATCAAAATAATCATCCCTCGATCACCAAGAACAAAATTACTAACCAGCATCCGTTTACTATGTAAAATATATACATATCAAGTGTGTATAATATATAGGAAATGAGGTTTAAAATTTCATAGCTTTACCGAGGCTTTGATATTTGTGTATATTCATCAGCATAACGAACTTCAATAAAGTGATGAAACTTTTGTGTTGACATAGATCTAAGTTTCTGCATATATGCCAGGACAAGTGTATCCCAAGTCCTAGGTCATAAAACCAACTTTAGGACAAATTTAAGACCGTTTCAATAAACATTTTAAAAGTTAATACAAGAAAAGCATTGATGCAAAGCATCAAAGGGCGACGCCAAAAGAATTTGATCCAGATTTGCACCTAAATACTTAACAAAAGATGTGTACTTTATAGCAGTACCTGGATGTGACATGTGACATGTAACCTGGAGGCTAGGGCCAGTTTAAGTTGAAACTTAAACCTAAAAAGAAATAGACTCTGTCTGCAAGATGCAAAGACAATTTATAGTCAATTGAGCAATCTTATAAGACTATGCTATAAGAAGAATTTCTTCAGATTTTTTTATGAGGACACAAGATTCCTGAGTCAATCAGCATATAATTCACTGGCACGGTATCGGACCTGGGAAGAAAAAATATTGACCAGATGACCAGATTGATAAAAAACTGTGTTTATAAAAACCCCAAAAACAAAAAGTAAATAATGATCCCCTTTAAAATATACTTTCAACTTTAGTATATTTTTAAGGGGGTCATTATTTACATTTATTTTTGGTTTGTTGACCACTTTTAAGATGAACCACAGGTTTTTTTTATCAATCTTGGCCATATTTTTCTTCCAAGGTCTGCAATACTTCGTGCCTATGCATTATAATAAAAGCTTATTGCTTTAGGGTTTGAAGACATGTAATTGACATATATTAGACATTAAAAGAGGAGCCTAAAAATGAAACATAGGGGGACAGCATAGGTACTCAGAGCCAGTAAGTAGAGATGGAGTACCAGCCACATCAACCAGCTTACTATCAAGATGATAAGACTTAAACCATGTCTAGAATGTCATTAATATTATGGGCAGATGCTTGAGTTCATGAAGAAGAATGGAAAAAAACAACTTCTTCAATGTGCAGTGCAAGTGTGTTCAACAGTATCAAATTGCCCTTTGTAGATCTAAAAGTATCATTGCCAATCACTTGCCTTTGCGTCCATTTCAAAATAATGCAATCTGTCTAAATGAATCGAGAACACATGTGTCAATTGAAAAAGCCATTCTAAATCACTGACTGAAATGGCTCTGACCGATGACCGAACGCCATGGACTGTTCGAGAGAGACCAACTGAGCGTATTCCGGCCTGCTACACATTTTCTCTTTAATAATGAGAGACAAGTGTTTAAAACCACCAACATAATTTCCCCACGTATATCGAATTTGTGTTCGAAATAAGAATTTCTTATGTTACAGAGCATACGAAATTGAACTGTTCATGGGCTTATATGCAGTCACAGGATGAGAAAATACTTTGCAGCGTGAACAACAAAGAACTCATAACCTGTGACCAAAGCGGATAAGAGAAATTTTATAAGGACTGATTTGTATTTTGCATCAAGGCACGCGGCAAAAACATGGTGAAAAATGCAGAGCGAAAAGCAAACCGACTTTAAGTGGGAGATGTGTGATTTTCATGTTTTCTCTGGCCGCCCAGTTACTTATTTTTACTGATGGTTGGTTTCATGTGGCACAAAATCACCCACTATAAAATGTAGTGCACACATTTATTCAAGCAAGTAACAATCTACTCTAGTGTACAGTCGTGTTGTCGCAGGTATAGAAGACTCAGGAGACCTGAGGTTGGAGACCGTGTCTCTTCATTACAAATAAGATAAGACAGGAAGCTGTCCGTTTCAAACTATGCACATGTTAGCAAAAAAAAATAGAATAACTATTCAAATATTGATCTTTGAGACTTATTAATTATATTGCTTGGATCCGAGAGGTTATAAGGACATGTTTCAATCAATACATGTTTTTATCATTTATAACTTAAATGAAAGTCTCATCCCTTAATAATAATGACATAACTGGGTATCTCTGTTAAATGGCAGTTAAAAAATTATAAGTCTCAACGATATCAATTACTACTGTCTTAAGTATACATGTTTATGCCAACATTAACATTAATAATTCCCAGTTTATATTTAAATAAATATTGAAATCCTAACATTAACGTTAAACATGAGCTCTCTTGATGACCTTATAACTGGTGAATTATGATACAACAAAGGAATGAAGTGATTATAAGTAATACCAAGATGAGACAGAAAAGAACAAATAATTTGAGTAAACTGAGTTTACTTCCCTTAAAATAAAGAAAACCTGAACCCAAAAGAAACACCCTAAACAGCAAAATTTATGAAATGCTAGCGAGGCTTCAGTTTTATCAAGCCATTGCAAATTAATGGTTAAAGTATTTCATAAAAAAATAGATGGCCATGTGTCAGCAGTAATTGCAGAAAATCGGATAGCTTTCTTCAACATCCGGATACTGGTACACTTTGTAAAAACACAACCCATTCTGCGCAACAGATAATGTTTAATAAGGATAAAATCAATAGGATAATCGTTGGTACAACAGTGCCATTACCATCCTTATACTCAATTGCAGTGAACTTTCTCTTGTTAGGAAAATTTTTTGAAAATGTTATAATGAATTGAATAACTGATACGGCCTAAATCTAAGACCACAACGATATTCGGAGAATCCGGGTTTTTTAGTTATTGTCATTAAAACTAAGGGACAAGCTGTTTAAACATTAACCTGCAATTTCGTGAAAAATAAGTATCACCATGCACAAATAGCTTTTTACATAAAGTTATTAAAATACAAATATAACAACACATTTCTTTACTTGATTTTTACGAATCAAAATAAAACTAATTAACACAACATGAAATTAACTGCTAATAATAACAGCTCCTTCCATAGGCAAAAATAAAAAGCATTCCATATTAGACGACGCCGCTCACCGGCGTCGCCAACAATGGCTTATACTTTTATACTTTTATTTGCAGTGTGTAGATGCCCATCATCATTGCTATTCAGTAATGAAAAAGTTTTTTCATATGAGTTTTTCTTTGAAACGCAAAATTGCCTTAAGATTGATTTCAGACTTATCATTATCGCGAGAATAAAAAGGTTGTTTAGAAAACAATTAAATGTGAACAAACGTCAATATACGAGTATAGTTTTACATACTTACTCTTCATATAGGTCATGTACAATGGATTTGTCATCGTCAGAAGATACTTCCTTCAAAGTGCATTGATCATCGGAAGAAGTTCTTAAATGAAGACACTTAAAGGGGCGGGATGGGGGTCGAGGTCAATCATATAGCCATATATAGACATGATTGGTCGTGGCCAGCTTTACTTAATCAGCTTGCAACAACATATTACTCATAAATATTTTACTCTTTGTATATATACTGTATATACAAATTATTATTAAGCACACTAACCATTTACACAGTGTATCGTATTTATTTTTCATTCAACATAAAACAACAAAACACAGAAATAGGTAGTTTATAAATAACGAGCGCATTTTTTAGATATAAAACGGGTTAAATATCCAAGTGACAATAAAATTGTACTGACGAGATGATTTCAAGGTTAAGAAGGGGCTCGGATGCCTCTTAGTTCTGGCTGTATAATAGAGTATATCAAAAATAGGGTAAGTGGTTTTTGTGGTTTCGTGTTTGTGCATTATGAATCAATTGAATAGTTGCTCCACTCTAAACCGCAACGGCAGACAATTACACATCGGTCAGTGGAGAGACGATGGACCGATGGAGGATATACCTTGCATGTAGAAACCGTGTGCACTTATTCACTTCTTTCACAAGACATTAATAAAAAGAGATAGACACGTATATTAGTGGTTTCCGTTTTAACCATATGTGCAATTGGGCATTATCTTTCTGCGCAATGTTTGCATCAGTTTCACATTCCTGTACGTGTTACCGACATACAGTTTGTTATAAAAAAAAAAGATATCGGCAGTTTATTTGTCATATTGGATCTCGCTTAAAAGTTTAATGCTTACCAGTATGTTAATCTTTCCGGTGGCGTTGGTAAATGTTAACTTTACCTGGAGGGTAAACAATTGGATGCCGTCCAATCATTAGTTCAGGACTTCCATAAGCTAGTTAGTTGCCTTTCTTGGTGAAGTTCATTGTCCCTTGCAGGATTCAAACATACATCAGTGAGGAGGCCAATAAACTCCGCCAATTGGAGTTATAATTGCACAGATTGTGTCATTGCATTTGATTGATCTGTCCATTACTATTTGCTCCCATCACCGCTGTTGGGTTCGAATTCCCGCATGGACTGTCGGGAGTTTTTCCCCCACGTGAAATTGTTACAGGACATTTTGTGAGGCCAGCTAACGCAAGGCTAGAGCCTGGTACGGAGCATCGGTTGAATTTTTCTACTACAGGTTCCCGTACCGTTGCCTAAAATAATTCGAGGTGGGGCATGTGAGGTTGGCTGGAAAGACGCCACATGACAATTACAGTGTTGGTGCAACAACAACAAAAACATTGCAAACAATACAAACGATTTACCGAACTTAATCTTTGTTTGTTTGATTTTATAGGTGCAGCAGAATGTCCAACAGTTGACAATAAAGATGAGTTTATGTTTGAGATAAACTCTATGTGCTATCATTACATTGAAAAACCAGATATTCAGGTACATACATACATTTTCTTCTTTAATTCCAATCTTTACACTTAACATTGTGCCGTTCTTTCTTTCTTTCTTTTTCTTTCTTTCTTTCTTTCTTTCTTTCTTTCTTTCTTTCTTTCTTTCTTTCTTTCTCTTTCTTTCTTTCTTACTTTCTTTCCTTCACTTCTTTACCTCTAACAGAACTTGCAAGAACATTATAGATCTAACGTACACTCAAGTATAATACTTGTCATAATATCAAAGGAGAAATCATGTACTTTTTGCTATAAAAAGGGATGAATACAAATACTTAATCTGTAGTCTGTTGTGAGGGACTGCATTGTGCTTTAGCAAATTCAAAATCCAAAAATACAGCCTACCTCAAAAAATCGTACAATGCAATCAATGTATCAAAGTTAAAAATAGGTATATTATCATACAGCTTGTTAAGAAATGATAAACAAATAATGTAACGAAATTTAACTAATATAGGCAAAAAGAAGATTTACCGACGTACACGCAGATATCATATAGAGTATAGAGTAAATTGGAGTGATTCTATTTTAGGTAACATTCGATATTGCTGAACCTGACTGTAGAAGTAGGAAAGGTCATCTGTTAACTATTAAAGACAATGCAACACAAGAAGAACTTAAACGTCAGTTAGCAAATGTTGGCGATGTGCATACCATACTGATTGGGCTGAAACGTGACGGAGGGGTATGGAAATGGGTTACAGGTTGGAACTCTTTTTGCTTTATTTGCCTAAAATAAATGCCAATTTATCAATAAATGAAAATAGATTAAATGTTATGTAACAAAAATGTTGTACATACTATTTGAATAAACCCGGAGAGGAGAGGGATGACGTAAGGGTATAAATAGAAAGGTCTTTGTTAACCGTTAAAATGCTTAAATGGTTAATTTTATTCTATAAACAAGTCCGTTCTTCAAGTTAAAATGGATATCATTATTGGAATTTTGTTGGGAATGTATGCGCACAATGCTAGGTGGCGTATTCATTCATTCATTAATTCATCCATCTAATCAATCAATCAATCCACCTACCCATCCACCCGCTCATTCATTCATTCATTCATTCATTCATTCATTCATTCATTCATTCATTCATTCATTCATTAATTCATTCATTCATCCATCTATTCATCCATCCATCCATCCATCCATCCATCCATCCATCAATCAATCAATCAATCAATCACTCAATCACTCACTCACTCACTCACTCACTCACTCACTCACTCAATCAATCAATCAGTCAATCAATCAATCAATCAATCAATCAATCAGTCAATCAATCAATCAATCAATCAATCCACATACCCATCCACCCGCTCATTTATTCATTCATTCATTCATTCATTTAATATTTTACAATTTTAGGAGAGAATCTACTTTACAATAACTGGAAAGAAGGCGAGATATGTAGCAATTGTGACTGTGCAAAACTGAAGCTGAGAGAAGGAGGAGTGTGGGAATCTGTTCCCTGCCAGACTGCAGACTGGTTTACGGCTTACGTGTGTCAATATGGTAAATATAATGAGAACCTTTCGTCTGCTGCATCATTTCCGGTTTCTAAGTTTTTTCTTTAAATGAGGGGTTAGGATGTGTGTGTGTGGTGGAGTGGATGAGGGAGGGGGCTTTACTCTACACGACTTATAGAGGCTGTATGGATCAGCTGGTCAACACCACTCTAGTAGTAAATAAACTGGTGTTAAGACTATGAAAATAACAATAAACAATAACCACTATAATAGTAAGCTATTAAAACACACAGTTTTTTTCACGTGATTATTTAAAAAAAAATGCATGTATATGTATAAAACCATTGTAGTAAAGTCTAAATTTTATGATTCTTTATATAACGACACGTATATAGTATTCTCTGGCCGTAAAATATTAAATATTAAAATTAAATCTGACAGTATATACCAGTATTATGTTATAATAAGAATTTTATATTTGTTGACAATTCGTATAAATAAACATTAACTATAGTCCCAGATTTCTCTCTACTGAACATATCTCAAACTCGAGGTTATTATTAAATGACAACTAATGAATTGTCCATTATTTACTTTTGTTAGTCGCGAAATGTTCGGCCGGATTAATTTTTTTTTCATGAATAAAATTTTGCCATTTAATACTTTCAGTGAGTTTTCTTTCTTTATATAAACTTTAAAGTTTTCACGATACTCGGAATTGTTTCAAATGAATCATTTGAGCCGCGTCACGACAAAACCAACATAGTGTGTTTGCGACCAGCATGGATCCAGACCAGCCTGCGCATCCGCGCAGTCTGATCAGGATCCATGCTGTTCGCTTACCAACCCTTTTACAAGTAGAGAAAATAATAGCGAACAGCATGGATCCTGATCAGACTGCGCGGCTCAATTATACTTAAGATTTAAAAAAAAAATTGTAAAACAGATACTCTATTCTTTATTATTTTTGTTAATACTGTATACGTTATACAATTTTCTTCATGTATACTCATTGATTAAATACTATTTCATTTTTTTTTTCAGCGCCAGTGGACGGGTCAAATGCCGCTTATAATGTACATCCGGTGCAATGTAAGTATATTAAAGTCATCAATTAATAAGACTTATCTTAAGGAAGTGATCTCAAAATTATAAAACGTGCTTAAGAATCATTTCCTTATGTTCTTTTAACTGCTTGATGGACAGATATTAATGATAAAATACCACAATTTTAAAATCTAAGTTCTGATTGGTACACTTTCTGTCACGTGACAGCTTAATATATCACGGAGATACATCGATCTGCTTGCTTCCTGTTGATATGGCATACATGACGGCAATCTCGAATTTCCGGCGGATTCCGTAATACTTCGGAAAGTAATTGTCGAGAGTACGGAATGACTTCTATATTAAGTATAAAACACGCGCATGAAAATGAATTCATGAAAGTGATTTATAGTCCACACAACATTTCACTGCAAAAATGCGTATAATGGACCACTTCATGGCTGTCTGAAAAGTCCCACCCCAAATTGCATTTTCTCGGCCCTTTCCGTCACACTTCGGGTAAGAACGGATAAGCTGCTATTGATAATGGCCGATATGTTTCCCAATTCGAAACTACGGTAATGAAGGGTCAAGTCGTAGAAATCAGTCACGGTTACTCGAGCGAGATCTCCCCTGTAACAGATAATTAGAATAGACTTCGAGATACTGAAAAAATCGAGAAACAAAAGTCGAGACACATACACATACGATTGTTTTTTGATTCAGTTGCATGAGTACAATCTTACTTGGAACATTGTAGTATTACCTTATCTGTAAGAACTTTCTGAGTTTTGAAAATGATTCTCGTCTTTATCACATACCGATTTAGTGATTTTCTGACTGACTGATTGAATAATTAAAGATAATTTGAATTTATAAATTAATCTGTAGATAAATTACTTGTACACTAATTTATCATTTGAATTCGTTCAAATAAGGACTAATTGATATATTAAACACCATAGAACCAGCAAATGTTGTTAAGACGAATATTGATATGAATATTAGAAAATATATATCCGAGAAATTGATTGAAATATTGATTATAGACTCATTTGTTGATTGACTGGCTAAATTTTGTTTGGTTGATTGATTGATTGATTGATTGATGTTGATTGATTGATTAAATCATTATTTTCCATTTTTACAGGGTCGGTTCTATCATTATTGTCAACACTTACAGCCGCTGTGGTTTTAACACTTCGTCACTGACAATAGGGCAGCGGGTTGGTTGAGATCTTAATTATTTGTAAGTATGCCATCACAGTTTTCTAAGAATCAACATAAAAAAAACTCATAAGTATAAGTATATTTTATTGTCATGTACATGATAAAAATGTCACGTAAATTTAACAGTCTGACCTCATTGCTTAAAATGATATCTTACATAAAAGTGTATATAAGTGTCGGGGGGGGGGTGTAATAGAATAGCATGATATTCACAATGGCTGCCTGAGTAAGCACTATTACTTTTTGTCGAACCGCTAAAATTTAGTGGCGTGTAACCACAAGGAATGTTTTATACACGCTGAGGTACTGTCAAGAGTACTGGAAATTTAACTTCCTCCACGGATTTATATTACATTTAAATCCGTGCTTCCTCGTAGAACTTCTACCATTATATTTTTGTAGTGTGCGGTTTATTATAAGAAATGGCACACAGTACTTCGGACATAATATCATTAGAGAAACCTCCTAGTCAGCTCCAAACATTGAAAAGTCGTCAGCGTTTAGTTTCCGTCCGTTAAATTAATGCGGGCTGACTGACCGGTCAACTATATACATGTAATGCTATAAGGCCCTCTGCTCTTTGTACTTTTTTTTTTAAATAGTGTTGCACCAAGCAAAGCTCACGCAAATTTATCCCTTTTCGATAGCTTAAATTTTAAATTTTAACTCGAATGTAAAGGACTGAAGGTTTTGAGTAACTATATATTATGACTGTTCAATCAAATTTCATAAAACGAAGATTACATATAGTACTCAACAGTAGATTCCATTTTCTGTATGACCGGAAGCTCTAGGTTAAAATAGGGAAAATGTTATCAATAACCATTTAAAGGGAATTATATAGCGTATTTATCATTGAAATTTATCTCCAGTTTATATTTAGAAAACAACAACAACGACAAACACATCGGCTAACATGGGTTATTTATCAGTACCGGTGTTCTGATTCACCCACTTATGTACTTCAATTATAAACATAAACCGATCTTCTGAAGCATGTACTTCAAAAAAAACAAAAACAAACAAACAATAAAAATGTCATCAACAACAATTAAATACTTATACATAAAAATACTGACTGACGAAGTAGATACTACTTAGAGTATATTTCCGACTGTATTGTTTGATTCGTCTGTTTCCTCGTTTGTCCTAAGATTGTGGTAAACAAAAGTCATGTACACAGTTTGTTAGTTTAAATAGCTACTTCCGGTACAAACTCCATGCAGCATTTACTTCCCTTTAAAAGAATAAGCGTACCAGCAATTCAATGGCAACTTCTCGACCCTTTCCGACTAACTTCGGATAAGGACCACGAACACAATTATGGTAAAATACCAGAGACTTATGTAACAGAGGGATAAGAAGCTTTTATGTAATACATTTTCACGTCCAGACCCACAATCCTTTGCGCCTCTGAGTTGTTCAGTTTCCGCTATCTTGTTTTACGTAACCTACTGTGTTTACTTTTTCATCTATTACTAAGAACAATTTACATTTTCCTAAACTTTTCAGATATATATTAATGTATATACATGACTTCGTGCATTTTAAACTACCTTTTTGATTCCTTTTAACGGATTCTGAAACTATTGTGGCAAATTTTCTCGTGACACACACATCAGAAAATGCAGAAGATTGAGACTAGACCTAAAAGACATCGTGCAATACTAAAAACTTGTATTGATATAAGCTCTACAAGAACATGAAGCTCCGAAAATTGCAAAATGTTATACTATCAGTAAATAAAATGGTGTAGGTCATTTTCGATGTGATCGATCATGAAATTCTTCGCGCATTCGTTCTATCTCTGCTCTAGCATGTACAGAATTTATCAGTTTCTTGCGAGTGTGAAGGCACTTAGTACTGCTTAACTGCTTGAAAATATGCCCAGGAACGATGCGTGATTGAACTGTGCTCGAAGTGGCCTACCCCGATGTTTTATTATATTTTCATTACATGCTGTTGAATTAACCAGTTGTTTCCATTATGTTTCAGATATAGTGAGGAAGGCTCTGTGAAGATATGATATTTTTGTGATTTGATGACTATAATGTTGGAAAAAAAGGAAAGGATAGCTTTTGGACGTTGAATTTGACGTTTATCACTGTCTTGTAAGCTAAGCTGTACGGTTGTAAATGCTTAGACATAAGTCATAACGGGAAGACACCCTTTATTTATAACGCGCAATAAGAAAGAACGCCAAAAGAGTTTTTTTTTTAATATTAAAAAGTCAATTATAAATAGGATAAAGATGATATCACTTCTCCGTCTGGCTTTTTTTCTGTTAGAAGTGTCACATATACCGTTGTACTGATTTCAACACAGTGTATAACCGTGATAATTATGATAGAAAAAACTCATTTCAAAACGACAAGTTTTAAAACGACACAAGGATGTGGCTTAAGCAACTCAGTGACACAAGTGTTTGAAATCTTAACTTGAAGCGCAGGATATCTGTTCTGTGTTTGATAGAGTACACGTCATTTGTAATATCTTCTTTTTTAAGAAACATTTCCGTGTCTGTAATTTGTTCTAATTGTTGTTGACTTTTAATTAAAACTCTATCATCATCTTAGATCACGTAATTCAAAATCGAAACTTAATACATGTATATCACATTTATTATTATCACGAGCAGCATTAATTTATTTTAAAAATTCATTTACTTATTATAGTTAAACTTTTTCTATTACAATATTCAAAACTTTATCAATATTGAAATTAATATCGACTTTAAAAAATGTAATGTAGCTTTAGTCAACATAATATCTAGTCCAACTAATTGTACTGCGCGACGAGATATTGTGCTATTTTCGTGTCTGGGCAATAAAGCGAGATTCTGCCCCAGAACGAAAATATCTCAGAATAAAGCTTTGGCACGCCAATATATTTTGACTACATAATATCGAGCAAATGTTGCGAATTTTGTCACGTGTTTTATAGTCATCAAATTAACGCCTTGTGACAGGGAACAATAAAAAATTTACCTCAACTTTATCTTAAATACAAATGCATTGAAACGGTCATCCAAGTACACATAATTTAGATTCTTGAATAATTTCACTTTTATTTTTGTTTTGTTTTTGTTTTGTTTAGAAAAAAAAACCATTATGATTTACATTTTTTATAAAAATGTTTACATGTACAAACAGTGAAAGATCATGACAAAACCTCATGTATATATCTCTCTGGTAATAAATATTTCATATTTTAAGACGTGTTGTTTGTCGTTTTCGTCCTGAAAGATTTTATCGGAAGACAATTGTAAAACCAATAATGGGATTATTAGCGAAAAGTTCATTACAGTTATAAGTATAGGAATAAAGCTCTGATGAAATAATCATTTGTGTACTTTTGGGGTTAACCACTTTTTGTTATGAATTGATTGCTTTTCCCTGAATCTAACTAAAGGAGCGAGTTGGCGCACCACACTTAATGCCGTATTCCGGTATATACCGGGCAAGGCGCGCTCAAATCTGGCCTTTTCACCAACAAAAATGCACTTTAAGACTCTACGATAGTGAATAAAAATGTAAAAATAGGCGTTAAAACGATATTTTTTTCTATTTTGTGATCACGATTAATGCAAGCGTCAAGAGGTACTGCTCCAACACTGTATTGAGTTAGATCCTTACTAAAGTTATTGCAGTGTTTTAAAAGCGTGTAAAATGTGTTGTACAGTGCACACTCGACAGAGCGGCCTCATGTAGAACAACAACCTTTTTGCAAGAAAAATTTCCATCAATCTTAGACTAACACATCACAATCAATTTAACCTCTCTAGAGCAAACACCTCTCTACAACAACCAAACGCTTTGTCTCCCATTGGTGTTGTTATGCAGAGGTTGCCCTGAATTAATTTTAATCATTAATCATTTTTCAGTATGTGAGGTAATTTTGTTCAGACGTATGAACAAAATTTTGTTAAAAAATACTCAATATTGCTGAACTTATGCAGTGTTCATACGTATGAACAAAAATCTTTACAAGTTGAGAAAAAAATTTGTTCATACGTATGAACAAGTTTGAAACTGCTAATATATATGTTTTTTATTTTACACTATTCTTATTTTTTGTTCAGGCGTATGAACAAAAATTGTTGAAAAAAAAAATATACATGTATATGTTATTTTTTACACTATTCTTACTTTTTGTTCAGACGTATGAACAAAAATTGTTGAAAAATAAAAATATATTACTAAACTTTTTCTGTTTTTGTCCTATTTTGCCCAAAAAGCAGTATTTTTAGTGTTTTTTTTTTTCCAAAGAAATAACTCTAAAACGGGCCAAAAAGAGGGACACTCGGAAAATCCTCTTTTATTCTGAAAGCAGATATTTGAAAAATCTTTTGGACAACACCACCATAATATGTCGGATGGAAGATGTGCATTTGAAAATTTACATAATCAGTGAAAATGAAATCAAAAATCAATTTATTACATACGTTTCTATCCCTATTATAGAAACATGTACATGTATATCATCATCATTATTATATGAGCCGCGTAACGACAAAACCAACATAATGGGTTTGCGACCAGCATGGATCCAGACCAGCCTGCGCATCCGCGCAGTCTGATCAGGATCCATGCTGTTCGCTTACAAATCCTATAACAAGTAGAGAAACTGATAGCGAACAGCATGGATCCTGATCAGACTGCGCAGATGCGCAGGCTGGTCTGGATCCATGCTGGTCGCAAACCCATTATGTTGGTTTTGTCGTGACGCGGCTCATTTAAAGTGACATTATGCTCATTTATTCACTGTCAAGCTTGGATAAAATAATTGTATATTGCAAAAGATTGACTATTTTAATTGACCAATTATTAATAATTCTAATGGTTTAGGATATATTACGAAAACTGCCTAAATTACATGAATAAAAAAGACTGCCTTACTCTTGTTATAATTTTTTTTTAAAGTACAGCTTTCAACACAGTATTTACCAATGATGTTATGATAAAAAGTACAGTTTTAAATTAATTCAACATTTCGATGACAAAAGATAAGTGTTTGAAATCTTGACTTGTACATGCATAATATCTTCTTAAAAGTGCAGAGTATTCGTCATGCTGTCCACAGCACGCTTTCGGCGTTTCCCGTGCAGTTATCGTTTGACTCTTTTATGATTTTACGATGAGTGAATCTTAAGTTTAAAGGGACTCCACCCAGGATTTTTAACATAACGATAATTTTTTGATATTAATGATCCTAGAAAAAAAAACTTGTGTGCGAAACATCAGACCATTTGCTCCTTTCGTTTTACAGAAGGAAAATAAATCAAAATTAGAAAATGACTCAAAAGTAAAATGCGTTGTGCGGTGCAACGCCGTTCACTAATATCAGACTAAGAATAGCTCAAAAAATAAATTTCTTTATTATATACTTATAAATGAAATATTGAGAAAAATTGATGAAATAAAATGCATATTTTCATTTTCCGTATTTTCACTGTAAAAATTTATTTTTCACTGCAGTGAAACATATTTTCCGTATTTTCACTGGTGTCTCGCCGGACTACTTTCTTTTAAATTCTGCCAGTACACAAAATTTAATGGAAAGTCTTTCAAATTTTATCGCAAAAAAAGAGAAAAATGTATATAATAAACAGAAAATTCAAGTTTTTTCTATAAATACATGATTTATTTTCATCTCGTGGCATGAAAATTATCATATTTCACTCGTGGCTACCGCCACTCATGAAATATTTATTTTCATACCACTGGATGAAAATAAATCATGTATTTATAGAAAAAACTTGAATATCCTCTATTTCTTATTTTTTTTTTCAATTATCTTTTATGTATCATTTCTGATTTTAAAAAGTGACACAGCTGATCTATGTAAAAATTCAGAATTAATTTTATGTTTTTAGACGCATTGGACTTCCCATAAGTTTTCATTAGCACTTGCTGAAATAATTGTTAAAAAGCATATTGCATTTTTTATCAATATTAACCATTAGATAGATTGTCAACTTTATCCGAAGTTAACCACGGCTGCCTTTAAACTTTATATTCGAACTTTTCATCACAAAGATGTTATAAAATAAATTGGGTCATAAAATTGAAATTCTTGTATAATGTCTTTTTTTATTCAGAAAATAAATAGAATAAATAATTATATGTTTCGTAAACATGTTTCCATATACAAAAACAGAAATGTCGTGACAGAATCTCATGTATATACCTTTCTAGTAATAAATATTTCATAAAGTTATACGTGTTAGACGTTTTAAAGCACAAAGACTTTCCTTGAAAATTGATATGAAATCAATGCTGGCTAATTAGCGAAATGTTCTTTTTTTCTCCGAAAGAAATATAACGTTTCAGTTTTAAATCCAGTGAAAGTCGGAATAAACCTCTGATAAGATGACAATGTATGTATTGCTTTAGGTTTTGTTCTATATCACTTTCTATTCTGAAAATACTTTTAAAACATAACAATAATGATGATGATGATGATGATGATGATGATGATGATGATAATGATGCCGATGATGGGGAAAATGATATTTTCAAACAATTATATTGTTTTTTTCTTAAGATTTTAGAAATGTGTAAATAATATGAAGTATTAAACGTAAACCTTATTACTCTGTCTCATTCAAAAATGTATTTTCTTGAAAGATTAATCTGCATATATACATGTTCTTTTTTAGTAAATATAGAGATGAGAACATCGATTGTTCAACAGAATAATATCGCAAAGTTTAGTAATTAGTTTAATCAAACGTCAACAAATTATCGAATCTTATTTTCAAAACATTTTTGGCCGGGTTGCACTGGTGCAAACCTGGGTTATAGTATGGTGAATGCCGGGCGGCGGGCGGGCGGTTGGCGGCGGGCGGGCGGGCGGGAAAAAACTTTTCGTAACAGTTTTCTCAGCAACTACTTATCACAGCATCTTGATATTTGGCTTCCAGCCTTGACACGTGGTCCCATAATGTGGGATTAAATTTCAGGTCTGTTGCTTATCCACTTCCTTTTTACTGACTTAGTAAAATTTTCCTTATTAATGGTCAATAGTAGGAAATTTTCGTAACAGTTTTCTGAGCAACTACTTATCACAGATTCTTGATATTTGGCATACAGCTTTGACACGTAGTTCCATACCTTGGGATTTTATTTCAGGTTTGTTGCTCATCCATTTCCTGTTTACTGACTTAGTTAAATTTTCGACATTAATGGTCAGTGGTAATTTTTTTCTTAACACCACAGCATCATGATATTTGGTATGCAAATGCAACCGGGCCTTTTCTGTCTTTGACCCATTTTTATTTTTATCAAACATCTACTATAAAGTGAATGGTTTTGGTAATTTTGGTAATTTTCGTTTTTTCTGATTCGAAGGATTCCTGACAAGTCTTACTCATGGGGAGTTTTGATTGGATGTGTGCTCCTGGTGGCAACTGCGCATGCGTTTAGCCATCATAGTAAAACAACGGCACGTGAGAAAGGTAGAATGTCCGATCCTGAGAATGATGATATCATTCTTTCACATGAACATGGTAAGCATCAAAGGGTTTTCTAGTGAAATAAATTTCTCCTTCATAGTGATCTTTTGTCATCACCCTCTTTGTCTTGTCCGTCATCCATCGTCGTGCGTAACATCTTCTTTGAACCGATTACTCCATTTTAACTAAATTTTACAGTAATGATCCGTGTTTATTCCCCTACCAAAGTTTTTAAATGGTTCCGGTTTGTTGTATAAGTGGGTTACAGGGCCAAAGACAAGAAACCAGTCAATAATGCAAATTTCAATAACCCTCTTGTCTTAATCTATTTGATCTAGAGCTTTTATATGATGAATGGTACGTCATTAAGTAGTCCTCTACAAAGGTTATTCCAGTAATGCCTCCAGGGTCAACATTTCCCAAAATACTGGGGTATTTGTAAATAAGAAAAACTGGATAAAAACTTTTTTGAAACCACTAAGGCTTGAGACTCAAAAATGACCCAGGTCCAGGGCTTATAGATTTACATTTTGTGTATAGGTATAATTAAAACATTTGAAATGGCCTCTAAAACAACAAGTGCTAGAGCTTGGCCATTTGGAATGAAACATTGTCTGGTAGACCCTCGGTCAAAATTTGTCCTGACCCGGAGGTCATGTGTTTTCTCTATGTATATGCATGCATGTAGTTACAAAATAAAAAAAAGTCTTTTGGTATAAAGTCATACGATTTAGTATATAGGTTGGCAATCAGTAGATGATCACCCCTATTGATTTTAAGATCAGTTGGTCAAATGTATAGGTCCTCGTTACCGTAACCACTAATGGCTTCTCTGAACAGAATTTTTGTAAAATAAATATTACAGGGAAACTTTGTTACATTTATTCTTGGAATATGATTTTGCAATAAATGTCTAAATATGTATACAACAATAACTTCAGTCCACAAAATTCTTGAATACAGTCACTTCTCATAGTAAATGTATGCACTTTGGTTCCTTTGATGCAAGTTGTTTAATGCTATCGTTTATGAAAAAGATGGACGAACTGGAAACAAACAACAACAAACCTCACTTAATAACTAGTTTCTTAAAAATTGTTGGCGTCCGCGCCGAAGCGCGGCGCCCTTATGGAATGAAAGCAGATTTTGTGGGCGACAGCAACTTCTCGAGCCTTTTAGTCGGTCATAATAAAAGCCGGTCATTCCGATCGGTATTAGGGTGCTTGATTATTAATTAAGAATGAAATGTCGCGATATGTTACAATGAATAGCGAACTGGAGAATTTTGCAATGCAAACATTTTCAAATGAAATAACCTTTTCCGTCAATAAATCGCGCTCTTCGGGGTTTTTCATTTATCATTTTGTAGTACACAGTGGGTTATCATGGTATGTTATTGTTGTACATGTATCCTAGAAAGATCAGTTGATGACCTAAATATTCCAAAAATCTATTTATAGATATATCTATTTATCACTCCTATCGGTAATTACCGGTCTCTCCCGGTCTATTTTGACCGGGATTTACTAGTGACCGGCGAATAGTACCACACGTTTATTGTCCGGTCTCTCCCGGTTTTGGAGTAGATGTTTGATATCGTTACAATTAGAAAAAAAACAACAACAATAGCATGTTTCATTTTATCTATATGAGATAAAAACAATAAATATGTACACGGATTTATATGTAATATAAATCCGTGATATGTACAATAATTGAGAAAAAGGTACATTTTTATGGTATTAAAATGACATTATCAACTTTGAAACATTTTATTTAATTTGTTATCCGTGTTTAGTAAAGATGCCGAGGAATTATTCAAAGTTACAAATTAGATTTTATGAATTATTCAATTGATTGATAATTTAAAAAATGATAAAGAAAAATACAAATGTACATGTACATGGTTTAAAAATAAACAATATTATATATTAAAAGATAAACCATAATTTACTGACTTTTTCCAGTTAAGCTTTGACTTATAATCGTCGGTCAATATGACAATTGAATTCTTAAAATTTATTTTACAATTTTAATAAAAAAAGTGTAGTAAAAACTCAGTATTAAAATAGCACATAAAACACAAAAAAGAAAAGAAAACAATATTCATAAAATTTGTATTTTTTTTTTATTAAAATTAATAGATATTACAATTATTGTATAATAAACAATTATGCTCAACATGATCAACATGGTAATATATTTACTAACTTAAAGTGTGAACAGATACCTTAAGAGGGGGTCTTCGCTAATAGCGATAACATAATAAGGGACAATTACAAAGGTGTGGTACGTGTTGATCATGCGTTACACATATGGATTATAAATGATTGCATACATGTATATCCGTTGCTATTAATAACCACGATCATAAAGAAATAACAAGTAATATTCTAATCTCTAGCATGCCAATCAAAGTTCATAATGAACAATGTCTTTCGTCCGCTCATTCATTAGTGATATACATTTCTGGTAGTTTATAAGGATATCTTGTCATCATATGTGTACTAGTTCATCTTCACTTGCTGCATTTCTTGCTTGGACGCCCTGTGATGCTTTGCATCAATGCTTTTCTTGTTTATTGCTAGATTGAAAATAGGACAACACTGGAATAGACGTATTTGTAATTATTTCTAAAGGAAATCCAATTATAATTGTTATATTTGCTTAGATGAGTTTATTTCGCTCTTCAACTTTGTCACCTTTTGCGATTTAATGATATTTCGGCGAAAGATTTTATATACATATAAATCTGTATCTGAAACTTTGTTACATGTTTTAGTAAATATCTACATAATTATATACATGTATATACATAACTGCTATTTAAAATCTCAATCTTTGCTATTGCATTTGTGATAAAGAACATACGTTGTGACTTTTATTCACAAGACAAACTTTGCACATTTACGCCTAAATGAGTTCGAATTATTAGAGTCTATACTTCTCTAGCAGGCGAGGTTGTTTGACCGCTGGTGTTGCTTTGAAAAATGCAACACCCGAGGTTAGCCAAACTCATCTTTCCTGTTTCGGCGTCATACGACATAAACTGTGTTGGTGCGCCGTAAAACCAAACAAGCAAACATTATGTACTTTGTCAGGGGTTCGAACAGAGGCTTTGATGTCGAGCATTTTCCCAAGTTATCCAAAATTAATGACCATCATATTTCATAATGTAATAAAACTGATCCGTTTATTTGCTTCTCGTTATTTGTAATTATTAGAGCAGTTAATCAAACATAAAATTATATTGAAAACAATGTTAATTCATGTAATATCACATACTGCCAAATGTTTTAAAGATTTTGTCTTTAATATTTCAGAAGACGATTCACTTGATGATTTGGTTGACAAAGTGATCCACCAAATCCGTTTCGAAAAGCACGAATTTAACCCTACATACCCCTTACAAGGTGTATGGAACAGCCCGGCTTCGAAGAAACATTTTCGCAGAGGAAGGAGGGAGGCTGACGGAACAGCTACGAACCGCATGCGCCGGTCAAGAAAATGCAATATGGCAAGGAAACATGCGCGGACAATGCTTCAATTTTGCCAATCTGAACCGACGTCGGAGCATAAAGGAGCTGAAAAAGATGACATTGCCGGAGGTCCAGCCAACGGAGGACCAGATAAAAACAATCCCCAAGCGAATGGTAACAAAGAATCCGAAGAAAAGCAGGCGCAGGGAGAGGACAGTAAGCACTCCGATGACGTGGAAAAGGAAAAAGATATAGAATGAATCGGCGAATGATTAACTGAACGTATGAAATCGTGTGGCTATAAAGACAGCAAAAAACTTCTCTTCGAATTTAAAACCTATGATTCGATTTCTTCCTTTTCTCTGAACACTGACAATCTGTTTTTTAGTTTTGAATGTTTGTAAAATTTTGGTAAATATATTATTAAAGGGACTCCACTGAGGTTTAAAAGCCTAAAAACATAACATTAGAAGTTCTTACATAAATGAACTGGGGCGCTTTAAACAGAAATATATGCAAAGAAAGTTAAGAAATATACTTTAAAATAAATCGAAAATCGTAGTATTATGCTTTTCTTAGTCTAATTTGAGTGGAAAGCGTTTAAACGCTTTTCATTTTGGGTCATTTTTTTACAATTTGAATAATTATTATGGAAAAAAGAAGTGCGCGAATGATCTGAAAGTTTGCACAAAGATTCGTGATATACACCTACATCAAATGGTACATTTATCTGGAAAAAATATTTTCAGTCCCATCATATCAAAACACCTCAGTGGAGTCCCTTTAACTAAATGTTTGCGAACTCTTATGGATGAGATGAATCCATAATTTGGCAGATTATAAATAGCTTTTTAAGCATTTAAGTTATAAATATAGAATAAAACAATATTATATGAAACATACATGTATGCATTATAGGGTCATCCACAAGAATCAAAAGAATACATTTAACGCTTGAAGTAAGTAAAATACTACTATACATTTATTACATTACATTTCCAGATAGGTATATTCTTAAAATACAATTTAACATTCAAGGAATATATTTACACTGAAAGGGAAACTCTATTGAGTTTTTTTTGACATGACAGGACTGGAAAATATTTTTCGAGAATTATTTACAATTTAATGTTCGTCTAGATCAATAACTTTTGTGCAATTTAAGATTATTCTCTCACTTCGTATTTCCAGAATAATTATTCTAATTGTAAAAACTGACCAAAAATTGAAAAGCGTTGCAAAGTATTTCACAAACCAGGTTATCAACAACACAAAAAATACGAGTTTCAATCTATCTTTGAGTATAGTCCTTAAGTATCTTTTGAATATTATCTATATCTTTAAGTGCTAAGCTGATCTATGTAAAAATAATCCATGTTTTATGCTTTTATGATTTTGAACCTCAGTGTAGACACGTTAACGCTGATATATAAGTTTCATCAGTATTGTAAATTGAAATATTAAACTCAGTATTTCTCTTTTTCAACATTTTGTCTAACTGTCTTTGAATAAAGTTCTTTTAATTTCTATTCTTGTTTTGTTTTATGATGTAAAACAATGGTATGAAGTCACATCCGTTCAGCACAATAGACACAGCATCGAACCTCGGTTATTGCGTCAAATGTTCATTTGTCGCTTTTTGTAGATTTGGATCCCTGACAATAATCATTCCCAGAACGACTGTTATTCTTATAAACCCTTGCCTTGCACTAAAGTATTCAATTATTATAAGGTGTTAAAAACGTATTAAGTTATAGAAAACAGGTCGGATGAACTTTGATCAGGTAATTTGCCAGTAATACTGTATCTAACTGTATCTAACTGACGGTTTAATAGGGAGCACACTGCTTGTTGAATCACAATTGACAGTTACTATTGCATCCAGTGCCAACTTATCATTGCAATCGCGTGTACAACACAAGACTGATTCTCCATTTGCTATTGCCTCTAGGCGGTGTAACGGTTCATTTCTCCTCTGTACAGTGGACTATGAGTGACTTTCATGATAATTAAATCTGACGTCGATAAAGCTGATAGTTGCTGCTTACGTGTTAACCACGTTAGCGTACAGTATTTTTGCGCTTAGCATATTAGAATTATAGCATTTACTTTTCTTTTATTCTTTTAACTCTTGCGTTGGCACGGATAATTTCCTATTGTCATTCTCGAAATTAAATGAATAGCACTGTTGGATTTTTGACCAAATAGGGACACGTTTGAACACTAGGTAAGTTATATATATATTATTTTGTTATTTTGTTATCATTTAAATAATATTATTATGTGATTAATTTTCTGTAATATATGATTGTCTGACATTCTGTAATCAATTGTGCCTATTTGAACGAACGTGTTCTGTACAAAAATTATTATGATATTATGTGATGAACTATACACCATCTACATTTTATAGTGTGTGTTTAACATACTATTGATTTCATGTGAAGTGAAATTGTTTTTTTTATTTTTAATGATTATCCATAATTTATTTGTGTAATTGTAAGTTGTTAAACAATATTTAATAATTAAAATACATTACATTACATTACATTACATTACATTGGATAAAATGTTAACTGCTATGAAGAATGTCTTATTTATATGAAAATCATATATTTGCATGTTTCATGAAAAGTGTTATTTGGTCAAAGTTTCTACCTTAAAACATTCCGTCGGTATGGTATTTCAAACACTTGTTTACGCGGTATATAAGCGAACTCACTTTATAAACCATTGTATATAAACTCTACCTGAAACACAGTGTTTAGCCTTATGTGTCATTTTTTCTTTTCCTTTTTTTGCAATATAATGAAATGAAGAAAAGAATGCGTTATCCCTACATAGAATAATTTTAGGCCTTTTGTGTCCCATATGGTAATAGACAATTTGATAGTACCGAAGGTAAACTTTCATTATTAAATGGTTTTATACACTTTCAATCAAACAGTTTTATCAGAATTGCAAACGTTTTCATTCTTGTAGTAAGGTCACATACAAATTCTACATCTAGAATTATGAACATTTTAAAGTTGGTAACATAATGCGGGTTTCTTTGTATCAATTAAAGATATCTTAATTGTAACCTTTAATGTTGGACATAGTTCAAACTATGTTTTAGGTTATAATCTCGTACTTTTCACTAATTGGTGGCTAAATTTGACCATAAATTTTTTAAGCATGATGGGCGAACACGTGAAAGGTGTAAACACACGACAGAATACTTTTTCGCCGCAAAGTCGAAACTGCAAATACACAACGTATATTATTTCTGAAATTATGATGTTTTTGTTTGTCGTTTCCAGCATTTTATATTTTTGACGAGATCAGTAAAGGGCACAAACTAGCTTCCATAATTTATCATAAAAATTATCGTTAACCCATTTGAAACTTGAGACAATGGTCCAATCTACATACTATTAAATTAGTGTTTGAAAACGTGCATGTTTAAGTAATCGAATGTAAATACCGACAATTATTAGTTATAAAATCGTAAATTAATACCACTGATTCACAGTTAAGTATATAAATTCTATTTAAATAAAACATTGTTTCTACACTAATACATGTACATTATATACAATTTCAATACACGCTACATTTTCCCCAAACTATAATTATCAAGAGATAGAATAATGAGTACAGCCATGACAAATCGGAGCCGATAATTTATAATGTGCGTGTTTATGTAATGACCATTTGACCGGTCATTACCGAGCACATCCTCGGGGACTCCCGCACGTGTCGCAATTTTCGCGGCATCAATTTGTCGTTGAATTACATAGCTAAATTACAGTGGAATAACGAAGGGCTATATTTAGGAAATACCATAATTCATTCCAGAAATATCGCAGTTGCTTCTATAACAACTGTACTTTTCTAAGCCATTTCCAGAACTACGTCATTAACAAAAATGAGCTGTTTATTTTTTCCGGTATTTTGGAATTTATACAGCATTAAACCAATGGAAAGCTTTGTTTCATTTGAAAAATGCGTATATTTAATATTTATAAACAAAAATAAATACACCAGTAATGTTATCTTATGTTACAGGTCACATGTTGCAATATCAACAACAATGTCAACAACACCAGATGGCGCTCCATTCGCACTTCCGCTTGTGTTTACACATTCCAAACATGCGTACACAAACAAATATACATGTGTGCTTGACAATGACTCCTTTACAGGTAATAAATTATCTTCATAATTATTGTTTTTCAATACACTTCATTACAATAATGGACAATATAATTTATGTACAGTGTATATATTTTGTCTCTTGAATTGTCCCCCCCGCCGATATTCAACACGGAATCCCTTCAATTACATTGTATTACAGACTTGATTTTTTTTATTTCCATAATACAGTTATTCTAACTACCTGTAATACCTGTAACTACCTTGTCACGTCTGAAGCAACCTGCTATAAAGGCCAACTATAAGACAGTGCGATGATGCACTTCCGGTATTTAAAATATGGCCATTTTGGAGATACATTGTACATAGTTAGAATGTTTGTTACGATATAAATTAAGAATATTATGTTTTCTTAATTGAAATATAAAACAAAATGACAAAAGCACTTGAACGAAATTTCGTCTGCCGAATTATTTCACGTAACTTCGCAAGGTAGACTGGCAGCTCTAATCACTTTTAACACTAGAATAATCTTTGGCCTGAGTGACATTCTTTTACTGCACAAGTCCATTGTAACCCTGACCCATCTCGGTACTGTGATGGGGATAGTCGGGAAAATCCCTTTCTGGGGGCAAACGTAACATGCTTATAGGATGTAAATTTTCCAATTCGCTGCCCGGGTGTATTTGTCGTGAATTTAATGATTTGACTATTACCGCAGGGCAAAGGAGTTGAATAAATTATTAGCTCCTGGCTTCTTGGCCGCAGATTTCTTTGAAGCCTGCTTCTTGGCTGGGCGTCGAAAACTCATCTTCTGGCACTTTTACGACGCCATACTTTATTGATTGTTTGATAATACTTAAAGCAGACACCTCCAGATTCATGTTAATTTTCATGAAAAGTTTGGAAATGTATTTACAAGTAGAATATTGTGATGTGAGCAAATAAAGTTATTTACATATTGCAATCGGCTCTTACAATCCAAGAATAATACCTAAAAGTGGCCAATATAATCAAGAACATCCCTTACTGCGGCAGTAGAAATATGGTGATGAAATACTGCAAAATCAGTATTAAACCGCACATAACATGTAAAATTTATCTTTGATCTTGAATGTTTTTACCTTTCTTAAAATGCTATGTTTCTCAATATTGATTTTCTTGAAATATTTTGGCTCATCTTGAGGCGTGCAGCTTTAAGTCTTTTCCTCCATTGTTTATAATAGATTGGCTTAAAACAGTTTTATAATGTATATTGATTATTAAATGCTAAACTCATAGACTACATTTTTCCCGTGAACGTTGTTCTGTTACAAGTCAAATTGCAATTTGCTTTCTTTTTTTAGAAATACTAAACGAAGACTTTGATTCCTACGTAATGACGCCATGGTCATGGAACAAAGATGACAACGTCAGTGACAAATTGTATCTACTTCCGGTTGCATTTGCTGCTGTTGTAATGAACATTCTCGTTATCATAACGTTTGTCAGGGAGAAAATGACGTCAGCACTTGACGTCATACTAATTGGAATATCAGTGTCGGATACATTAACAGTACTAATCCCATGTGCAGCAACCATGTTTATGTATTTTGATGGTATTTTTCCGGATTATGTTTCATACGAAAACTGTAAAATGTGGGGTTATCTCACGAAGTATTTTCCTACGATTACCCACAATGCATCGATCTGGTTAACGCTAGTTCTTGCGTATGATAGGTGTGTTGCTATACGTCACCCTTTCCTCATCAGACGACTTTGCTTACCTCGAACAAGCGTTTTTGCTATCGTGATTGTTTATATCTTTGCAACGCTTGGACATTTATGTAGATTTCTAGACACAGAGTACGTGCCTGTTAAAATAATCCCGTCAACTTATTTTGATAATCTTACAGTTTGGATACATAATGTAAGTGAAGAAATGGCAAATGCTACCATAAATACGATCGCTTCAGATGGATATGAACTAGACGAATTTTGTAACTATGTAGAAGGAATCGAAACGTGTAAAGCGGTGTATACACCAGTGTTCGGAAACTTCAAGTATTACGAATTCTGTTATTACTGGTTTGTTATTCTTTTCGTAAAGTTTATTCCATGCACATTTATGATAATACTGGATACTTTAATGTTAAAAGCTTTGCGCCACGCGGAACATATTCGTCAAGTTATTTCAACCAAAAACACCCATCATATTCAAGCGTCTCAGAGCAGAGTGCGATACTACGAGAGCAGACGAATGACGATTATTGTCGTCATCGCCATCGTCATCGTTATAGTAGTGGAAATTCCGGTCGGAGTCATTCTAATATTTTGGACGTTAGCAGAAATTCACGACAAAGAGTTTATCAGCGAAAGAAATTTGAATTATGTGGCCAGAATCGCAAATATGATAGTGTCCATAAGTTACCCAATAATATTTTTACTATATTGTTGTATAAGTGCACACTTTAGAGCTTCGTTCAGCAGACTTTGTTGTTGTTTACGAAACAGATGTTCGCGTTTTCTTTCCGCCAACGAGGAACCGTCTGATCTTTGATTCAGGAAATTAGAATGATGTCACAATATATTATTGAATGACACGGGTCTAGATTTTTATTTTAACTAGTTTGATAATAATGTAGTATCAAATAAAATCTTACGTTTTACAGTTGTTGGTTTCTATTATTTAATGTAATCGTACTTTTATGAGAAAAAAGAAATGGGTGGCCTAAATTTAATTCTAAACTGTACGGAGTTAAATCTTTTTTTCTTATTCGCAAGTAATTTTATAATGCATATAATTAAAATAAATATGGGGTTTGGATATTATTATTGCCTGTTTTCTAAGCACGAACAAGGAATTTTGCAATATGCATTACTATATAACAGATTTTTAATAACGATCATAACAAGAACATCCAAGACTGCAACCATGAACACTTAGTTACAACTATAACTGTAGGAATGAACAAGCAACTACAACCGCGGACTAGTTACTTTAACTGTAATCGTGTGAACAAGACCATGATGAAGTAATTATAAACGTGGATGAATAACTCTAACCCATGACAAGAACGTAACAAAGTAATTATAACTGTAACCGTGGATAGGACCGCGACTTAGTACCTATAACCTTAGACAAGTAACTTTAACCGGTGACAAGACCGTGATTAAATAACTGGAACCGCAAACAAGTAACTGTTAATGTGCACAACACCGTGACTAAGAATCTTGAACCGTGGACTAGTACCTACAACCGTGGAGAACTAAGTGTAACCGGGGACAAGACCAGGGCGTAATACCGACAACCGTGGACAATAAACTGTAACTGGGGACATGACCGTGAATGAGTACCTATTACCGTGGACAACAATCTGTAATCGGGGACAATACCACGACAAAGGAACTACAATCATGGAGAAGTAACTGTAATCGTGGATAAGACTACAACCGTGAATAAGTAAACTGTAACCAGGGACAAGACCGTGACCTAGTACCTTCAGCCGTGGACAAAAACCTACAACCGTGGACAATCAATTATATTTGTTCGATAAGTACCTGCAACTGCCGACAAATAACTTCAATCGTCGATCGATACCTAAAAACTTTGAAATGTAAATGCTGACTCTAAACGTTTACAGGGGACCGTTTAAACATCAAAACTAGACAATTCCGTTGACACATATAGCGATGTCACAGTAAAAACGAGTTCGAAGAGCTGTCCCGAAGTCCTGCTTGCAAAGCGAACTTTACGGTAACGTGAGTACCTGCTAGATAGTGAAGGTTTTGAAAATTTCGCCGGAGGTACTGTCAAATTATGGGAAATTTTGACCAATCGCAACTTTTCGAAATACAAGATAAGGATATAAGCAAAGGAATTCTGATTGAAAACGGATGCGTAGACTGGTCTCCTGCGCACTTCTATGGGAACCATTATAGGACAGAGAACCAGAATAAACGGAAGCAGTGAATAAAATACCGAATGACATTTTTAAATTGGAAAATGTAAAATAAAACTGAACGATTATATTAACCATCGTTTCCCGTTCATAGGCTTTGCCAAGTTTCAAATTACCCGAACTATACTCTGGTTCCCTGTCCTATTATGGTTCCCATATATGTTCTCTGACGGATGCATTTAATTTAGATATCATATAAAACATATAATGGCCGTATAATTAAGTGTGTGGTTGTGTTGTGTGCGCGGCCGAATGTGCAATTCTAAGTGTTTATGTTTTCACATAAAATGTGTAGCCGCCGATGGGTTTAAATTATAATGTACTTTAATTTCTGTCAAAGAGCTCACTTTGAAGCTTTGCCTTATTCAAATTAATTCGTCTTTTTTAAAGCCTGTATTTTTCCTTTTGCGCACATTCTAATATGACGATGCTTCAGTTTCACAACGCCAGCAAAATAAGCTGAAAAATAAAGCTTTTCACGGAATGAACACACACGTATTTCCGTTTCGATCATCAGATGAGTCGAGAAACAACAACCGCTTTCTGTGTATAGTAAATGTATTAAGAAATTGGTCTTAAGTAAGTCCACAAGGTAGAAAAAAACGAACATTTTTGTAAGAATTTGTAAATGATGAGAATTTCTTTATTATGATTTCATTATCAGTATTATTTGTTTTGTTTGGTCCACCTTGGCAATGCAAAATCCTAGCGGTTATAGAGTTGGTAGTTTTTACTCCGGATCACGGCAGTAAGCCACACACTGAATTTACCAGTACCAAGGGGGAGAATCACGCCGTTCGTTACCCAAACAAACAAGATGGCGGATGCAGCCAAAAAGTAGGTTTTCCCCTTTTTTCTCTGAAATTCGTGATGTTCTGATGTAAAGGTACATATAACAACCTTCTCCACAATTTTCCTGGCACACAGGATTTTATTTCATGATGTTTCGTCCCGTACTTCATCTGAAATGCGCGTCACCAGATTCGAAGCGAGAGAATTTTCCACCGGTTTGATCGTGGTAACGTACGGCTTTTTCTCTAAAATTCACTGTTTCTTTTACATATATCTATATTAACTGAAACCACTGACTTTAAAAAGTTGTAATATGTCGTCATCTAAGCATACATGTCCATTCTGGCTAGAATTACTGCTGTAAATATTAATATCGGGGCATTTTCCGGAAATGATAACGTATGGCGCACAAAATATCAATGATAACGTACGGCGCACTTTTCTACTTGGTGGATTTCAATTTGTCCAATCAGCTGATAATGAATTATTTTTATGTAGTAAATGATAAATATCTGAAAAAAATGTTGGTCAGGTCAGAAACAATTAATTGAACAATGCTTTACCATCGGATATAAATATCTTTCTAGCTGGTGGCATAATAGATATCCGTTGTTAATATACCAATTAAAACACACGTGTATAGTTTGAGAATATTGCAGAATGGAAAGAAAAGCCTCCACTTTCAGGAAACATTTGTGTAGTGTTGTCTTCACATTAAATTTCGCCAGCGTTGTGCGATAATTATGGTCTTATCCCCTTTTCTAAAGAAAATGTCTAAAATCATTCCTAACAAATTTCTGATAAGGAAATCTTAATATTTGAACCCGTCAAACATTTACCAAACGAAAACTGATTGTGACAAGCTTACACCCAGATGAGATGAGCCTGTGTTTATTCAAACTGGTCGCTCATTGAAAGAAAAATACATAACAGAGAAAAATGAATGAGTGTAGGTTCTATAATGAATTTATTGAATGAGTTAGAAAATAATATTATGCGAAAAATTTAATGAATTTAGAAAATAAGAAATGTTCTGTTTATTTGACGGGCGGTTAATACTGAAACGATACCATTTAGCGTGACGTTGTGCCACTATGACGTCAGGTATATTTACGCGACATAGCCTTACAGTTTTTCTGTACGAAATCTGCTGTGGTCATAGTATTATTTTTACAATAGCTTTAGCTCTTACATTTGGTTTGCTATTGCTAATCATGGTCATGCAACTACATAGTTAGGTAAAGAAGCAGACGCTTGTCTTGGTTGAGTCTCTTATGTTTTGTTTAAGGGGTGAGTTGTCATACACAAATTTACAATTTTTATGCATTTATTTTTTTCCAATGATTGTTATTATCTTAAATGCTTCTGGGATTGTTGTTTTATCAATTTATTTGTAAATAAGATTGTTATATGTCTATTAACGGAATAATTTTAATGAACACGAAATTAGTTCACACCTTTATGTGTATTGATGGTTTAAACCAATATTATTACAATCAGGCAGAGAAAAAGTTTGCAAAGAGTAAATCGATAATCTTTATGTAGCAAACAAACTTTGAATTGCAAGTGTTTTTCATATCTTTTCGGCAGGATAAACTGTCCGAGGAGGGCCAGGCATTTTCGTATCGTAAAATGGCTGCCATTTACAGTATCAAGTGATTATCCCAAGCACCACCGCGACTTAGCGCGGGAATTATAAATATAGCTAACCTCGGCGCGTCGCATAGGATGGAAAATACCTTTTTCATATTTTATTGTAATAAATATTTACAAACTGTGTCTTTCGGGTTTTTTTATAATCAATATATAACCAATAATGATGTTAATATAAATAAATAATCATATCTCAAATCTGTGACTATGACTTACAATGAAATTCTACCTTTAGTGTATTAAAAAGGTTTTTAATTTCCTGTAATTTTATTCTGTGATTATGCTTCAAAGTAGTCAAATGACCGTGAATTTTCTCTTCATATTTTGATTTCCTTGAAATCATTTTCTCATCTGAAGGCATGCAACTTTAATATATTGATACATTAATTACATTCCATAAAAATGTTCAAAGATATAAAATATCTCATGACATGTTTGTTCATTTTACATTACACCTTTAATGCAACAAACATAAAAAAAGTCTTCACAAAAGTAGTATGCAATCGTACCTATATTACATACGAATGTAAATAATATTTTTCTTGTTTATTATAGACAGTAGACATTTTATTTTATTCCAATAGGCTTTAAAGCCGATGAGGACATAAAACATGCACAATAACGAATTGTTCATATAAACATAATATCAAAAATCATGAAAAAGTTTGGAGAAGATCAATTTTGATTAATAAAGTAAATACCAGCCGAAATTTTCTTAAGGAGTTACATAATGAACATTTTCATATCAAAATTGAGCTTTAAACCAGCAACTGATAGGTCTCTTGTATAAACATATACATACACACATATACATGTACGTACATACAAAAAACATACATTACATGAACCATTAATGCAAAATTGTTGTATATTAATCGATTTTTAACACATAAACGCAATTACCATATGTTTATACACATATCCTTAAAAAATTCGCACCAATTGCGGATTTCATAATTGTAAATGAAAGGAACGTCATAATTTGATCAAAACAATTACATGCAAGAATTTGCCTATCATATTCTGGCGTTTTTTCCACAAACGCCCCCCCCCCCCCAAAAAAAAAAACAAAAAAAAAAACAACAACAACAACAACAATAATTTCTGTAAAAAAAGTATTGCAGGTATCAGCAATAAAAGAGTGACATTGGATTCGCTTATTAATTTCTAGTGTTAATTATAAAGTTTCAAATCGGATTTGGATTTCGATGTTTTTAACCATGTCGGAAAACTCGTCTGAAACCTTTAATGCCAGACCGCTCATGAGCTTAGATGACGTCATTATTATCTTTATGAAAGAACGGTTTTAAAAATGATTACGCTACTCTTAAACTAGTGTTTACGAAGTATATGTATGTGTCCATCCGTGTTGTTCTACAGAAATTAGAAACTTCGACGGGAGCGATAGCGACCGGAGAATATTTCTTATTTCCGTAGAACAGCTACGGATGAATACAAACATACTTAGTGTCAAGCTTTATTTGGCTTCATTAATATTAACTTTATTTCGTCACTATACCTGTCCATTTGCACAAACGCGGTTATATGAAACACAGGCTGCTATGAACGGACTTTGATGATATTATATCATCGACTTTTGTTCTTCTATAAAAATTTACACAAAGAATTTTTAAGAAATACAACGCTTTTATTGGATGACAAATAAAGCTGGGCACTAATATTATTTATTTCAGTTTCTTAATTTGGTTCTACACATCCTCTTATAATGTCTCGTTAACATAACTTTTCTATTATAAAAAAAAAAATCAGAAAAAAATGCGCCGTACGTTATCATTGATATTTTGTGCGCCATACGTTATCATTTCCGGAAAATGCCCCGATATTAATATTTTCAGCGGTTATTCTAGCCAGAATGGGCATGAATGTTTAGATGACGACATATTACAATTTTTTAAAGTCAGTGGTTTCAGTTAATATACATATATGTAAACGAAACAGTGAATTTTAGAGAAAAAGCCGTACGTTACCACGATCAAACCGGTGGAAAATCCTCTCGCTTCGAATCTGGTGACGCGCATTTCAGATAAAGTACGTGACGAAACATCATGAAATAAAATCCTGTGTGCCAGGAAAATTGTGGAGAAGTTTGTTATATGTACTTTAACATGAGAACATCACGAATTTCAGAGAAAAAAAGGGAAAAACCTACTTTTTGGCTGCATCCGCCATCTTGTTTGTTTGGGTAACGAACGGCGTGATTCTCCCCCGTGAGTACTGTAGTTGATTTCACTTTCGCAAGCAACTGATTACTTCTGTACATGCCAGAGCAGATGTAGAGTGCGAATGACCGTAGAAAGGATTTTATTATCAATCACAACAAAATTGACCTTGGCCATCCGGAAATGGAACTCGCGTCACCCGTTTAACAGTCAAACGCTCTACCTATTGAGCTAACCGGATGAGTTTGTAAAGATCATATGACTACTGTTCAGCTTTATAGCCGGGGATGACATCAGGAGCATTATTTCAAACACGAGCAGACACCTAAGAAATAACATCGATCTCTTATAAGCTAACCTGGTATTAAGCACAAAGGAGAGAATTTATAACGATTCGAACCTATTACTGTAAGGGACTAGCCATTGAAAGTCATAAACTTTAACCATTCCATCACTGACTTACATTAGAATTAAAATATATCTCCTTTCTACATACGACTACATGCTTTTTAGATTATAAGTTATTATATTAAAGTATATGTATTTTGATTTTAATATGAATTAAAAGAAGACAAAAATGACCCCCTCCAAAGAAAAATAACAAAAAACACAACAACTAAAAAACACACACACACACACACAGCCCCCTCCCGCCACACAAACACAACGTGTATTCTGCTGTATTTAAAAACTTAATTACCTGTGTTATTAGTGCATGCACTTCAGGTTGAATTAAGATAAATAAAATTAAATTTCATATGTAACTGAAGTAGATATTTCGTGTCCTAATGTCTTGAACGTGTTCGCCATTGGTTACATTGGACAATATTAGTTTGAACACGTATTTATTATCACGCATGTTCCATATGATATGTTGCATAATAGCATCTGGTAATTTATTGAAAAATCAATTTTAGTGTTTGGACTCCATAATCTAAATGACATAAATGCTTTTGGTTATGTAGTAAATGTCATATGTACTCGGGAATGGGACCACAGATTGCGGCTCATATTTCCTATCTTGTAACGGCTTATAAAAATGTTTCTCCTATATTTAAATATCGTTTCGAATTATCCGAATGCACGGTCTCAAAAATTATAATATCAAATAAACACGATATGCAACTTTAAAAATTGGCTAAATCTGGTATAGAAAAAATATATACCGTAAATTTGACCCATTTTTTAAACAAGCAGATTATGTTAAATTGACATTATATTTTTAAAGACCACCCGATGGATAATATGTAAAGTTATTCAAAGGTCCGACAAACAATATGTAAAGCCGGTATGGGGTTGGATTTATGAATGTCGAACGATATATGAAATCATGAAAACAACAAAGATATGCAAATAAGAGTACATTAGGCGGAACATCATTTCTATTCTGCTGTCCCTTGTCTTACATTTAATTTCCATAGTGTTTTCAATCTAAGAAAAAAGTACATATAATCAGATGCCCCGATAAAGAATGATACAGATCAATAAATCCTCAGAAGAGTTGTGTTATCTTAGTCAGGAAAATGTTATTAAACTAATCTGTGTCGAGATATGTTGAGCCGTACAGGTCCGATATGAAACACATGCGTGCTTTGGTCAAACAGTTCTCGCCTGATCATTCTATTTTTATTTGTACACTTTATACATGTATATCTCATGCGATATAAAGATGCGCAAGATTACAAATTAAGTTCTGTTAAACTGATTCAAGGAATAGTATTGAATATTTGGAAAAATCTTCTAATACCAAGAATTACGATTTCATATGCGCTTTTAATTCAATTCATGTAGTTGAAATTGTGAATTTATGAAATTCGAATCGAACAAAAAAGATGAATTCGTAAAGTTAAAAACGTGGAATCTTGAATGCATGAATTCAATACCTTTTAAGTTTAAACATAGATTATTTCAAACAAGTATACACATTTAACAATTTACAATTAAAACTTTACAACACATGAAATTAATGAAAAAGGATCAGAACCAAATGCTGATGCTTATATAGGTCTTATCCTTATATGTTTAAATCGTGAAAAGGTGAACTTGGATTAATAAACTCGGTCTTTATAATGTCATTGGGTCTTTGAATGATTCCAATCTCATGAATTGTCGAGTTTTAGAAAGCGATCGTCTAAAAAATCGACCGGACGCAGTTTGGTTTGAGAGCAGGATGCCTTTACCGGCTGGAACCTTTTCTTTTTAAAATCACGCTGCACCTTTAAATGGCTTAGAACAGCATTGCTGTAGAAAACCAATGGAGTGTAAATTACAGTGAAATAATAACGCACTGTCTGACAAGAATGATTCTGGCGAAAACGGATTCTATTTTATATCATGTTATGCAATAATATGTACGGTAATAGTGCTAAGTCTAGCCACTAAATGTAATCCGGCATATTTTAGGTGTATTTTACCGCTTAAATCACATCATATAATATTAACGTAGGATCCCATTAACTTACATGTTTACAAAAAGAAATTGAATAGGCTGCGCAGAATTTAAATTGTTCGCAAAAATCACTGACATTTATTTCTGCGCATGCGTCATTTAGGCACTCCCCAATCAAGGGGAAAGAATTTGAGATATATTTGACATTCAGATAATCATCCGGAAAATAATTTATTCAATTTCTATGTTCATCATTCAGTTTTTGCCTTTCCATATCATTCGCAGACGACATATTTTATCCAATCAGCCGCAACCATTTCTGCGGGATTAACTTCACCATGGCGTTTGCGCGCGCTTCATTTGAGATGCTGTCAGAAGCACGGCACTTGACGGGATGTCGTAAAACTTTTAAGTGATAGCAGAAGACAAATAAATTGTAAACCAATCTTGACCTTTCAGTACGATTTCCCTCTGTGGGTGTAGGCTAACCATATAAAGATGGCTGCAGAACGAACTAGCCAAATGTGCGAATGAATTTCATCTTACGCCGGAATAAAAATGCATGGCGAGATTTTACAATAATAAAGGTAGGCTTACAGAATACTTTTGAAACATAGTATGATATAAATATATAAATGATCTAACAAATTGAAGTTCGGGAGTTTTCGTTCTCAAGTAAATTTATAAATGTAACGTTAAAAAAATAAATAAATAAAAGTATGACAAATACGAACACAAAATACAATTTATATTGAGTCACTTTACATATGTGAGGAATAAGTAAGTTATTTACAAATACATAAAACAGAATACATCTATCTTTTACATCCTTGTGATACACCAGCATTTATCTATTATAGATTCAAAATATATGGCCAGGCGATTTAGTATTCCTTTTGTCTTTCGGTACGATGTAAAACACGGACATGTAAGGAATTGTTGTTTTATCGTCTAATAATTCTTATTTTACTGTGGTCTAAGTTCACAAGTTTTTCTTTTACCGAGGATAAAATTAAAATTAATTATCATTCGTCCGTGTAAAAACTTTGAAAAGAGAAACTATTTTACCTTGAATAAATTTTTATTTTATTATTTTTCTTTCTTATATTTTACCGTTACTAAACTTAACAAGAAAATCGTAATTTTAGTTAACGCTTAACTTCACGAAACGTCACTTTATCGCGACATAAGTTCACACGAAGACTTTTTGCCAACTTTTAAATAAAGTTTTATTCAGAAAAGGCTTAACTGAATATTATTGCAACTTAATTTGCCACAGCATACCTTTTCAATATCAAGCTCATTTTACCGGAGTTTAATTTTATTTAACTGCGGTTAACTTCGTAATAAAAACTTGTACTACCGCGGTTAACTTTTTAATAAAACTTATTTTCTCGGGGTAAACTTCGTAATAAAATCTTATTTTACCGCGGCTTAACTTTGCAATGAAATATTATTTTACTGCGGTTTAATTAAGCAATATAATCTTAGTTATTTTACCGCGGCTTAACTTTGCAATACAATCTTATTTTACCGCGGCTTAACTTTGCAATGAAATATTATTTTACTGCGCTTTAACTAAGCAATACAATTTTACCGCGGCATAACTTGGAAATAAAAGAAAATAAGTTAGGGTATATAAAAGAGAAACTGTTATTTACCTCAGCTTAACTCCATAACATGTTGTTGCCAGATTCCTGACAAAACCTTATTCTTTCAATTTACATAATGTTTTAATTGATATTTTGATAAATAGGCATGGAAGTTTTGATGGAACATACCCGATACAAAGACCCATCACAAAATGGTTTTAAGGTACATGCAATTAAATTACAAAATAAAAACAATACTAATGGGCGGGTCACTGTTCAAAGTTATGACTTACCGTTAGAACATATAAACTAAGAATATTTTAAACATCTGCTATATTTACATATCCATACAGAAAACTAATTATTATTCCCGGACACATACCTAAATAGTACACGCATAACAAAATAACATTTGATAAATAAAATGTGTTAAAATGTAGAAAAAGTAAATGAATTAGCCTGTAATTGCAAAACGACATGCAAGAAACTATGTAACACCATATGTTTGCACATAACAGCCACTGGCATTTGACTTTACTTTTGAAGGTAAGTTAATTTAGATATCAATTTTGCTGAAAGTAATTTTACTATGCAACAGCATGGAGCTAAATGTGTGCAGATCTGTGGCAACAGTTACAGTAAAATCAAAGGAATGCCCCGCGCATTTTGTTTATAAATAAGTTTTTAGGAAATGAAAAGAAAATCAATTATAAACAACAATTATAACAGTTTTTTTAACATTTTTATTATTTAATTTTGATTAAAAATCTAATATCAAAATAAATTGTTGTCAATTCCCATTTGCCTCCGTTGTGCACGTGATCTCTCTATATTGGTCACGTGATCTCTGTGTAATGAGTTTTGTTTAAAATAATAACTGACAAACTAAACTTTTCAATGCGTTTATGGACTTGTTAGTTATTTCATCATATGAAATATTTGAATGGTACTATTTCGCTACATAATAATAATGATTATGATAATAATGATGATAATGATGATGATGATGATAATAATAATAATTATAATCGTTATAATTGTAATAATAATAATAATAATTGTGGAGGTATTCAACGACTTGTATCTCTGTTATTTTTTAATAGAATTTAAAAACATCGGTAAAAAAAGTTAAAAGTTAGAAGTAGGAATATATCAGTACATTGTTATTGATAAAGTCAGGTCTTAAAGTTTCTTTTAAAAATGTAATCTTGTAAATTTGTAGCAATACAAACAAAATATAAATTTAAGTTATAATTTTGGTCACATCATATTAATGATATCATATTCATACACAGGTTGGACTACCTCACGGGAACAGGAACAACTTCATACGCAATGAATGCCGATGAGTTTGAAAGATATGGGACAGAGATGGTGAAATACATCGCACAGTATATGCGCACGTTACCGGAGCGCCGTGTGAGCTCAGATGTTGAGCCCGGATATATGCGGGAACTACTTCCGAAGCACGCGCCCGCAAAAGGCGAGAACTTCCGGGAAATCATGAAAGATGTCGAGAAAGTTATCATGCCGGGGGTTTGTTTTGAAAAATTGTTTTGTCTTTCATTAGAAAATCTTCCCCGTTAGTTTGTTTTCTTATTATAATTTGATATCAATGTGTAGTCTGATCACTTTGGGGTTGTTTTTTTTTTTTGCCTTTTCATCTTTGCTTCAGCTTAATCAATTTATAACCATTGTTACTAAACAAACTTGTTAAGTCACATTCTTGTCCGCTTCCTAAACTAAAAAGTACTGGTGTAATTTTTGGAAACATTGGGATTACTTAACATTACAATTATCATCATATTGCAGTTAACACATTGGCAACACCCTCAATTTCACGCTTATTTTCCCGCCGGAAATTCCTACCCTTCTATCCTTGGTGACATGCTTTCCGACGCCATAGGATGTGTTGGATTTTCATGGGTAATTATTTTCTTTTACATCATTCTTAGAATATCTAATTTGTAAATTATATTTTGTGTAATATTAAGTATTCTTACACCGATTTTTTCCACCGACTATTAATATTCAACGTGAAGATGTCAACATAATGGACAATAAACCAGCAATAGATAATAGATGGCAATAGATACCAATTATGACGTCACAAAAGTGACATTGAATCCAAGGCATGTCAGAAAATTTTCTTGACGTTTTAATTTGAAGTTAATATTCCAAAGATTATTAGTGTAATACAGTTCAACCTCGGCGGAGCAACACCTTGTTGGAGACAGATATTTTGATTGTTGCTGAAAGGTGGCGCTCAAGAGAGGTTCAAATTCATTGTTAGGACAAAATCTTTACTGATGTCGTAAAGAGATCTTCGCTCTGCAGGGGCCGTTATGCAAAGGTTGCACTGTAATAGAAGAATTGCAAAACTTCACTATACTATCCCTACACAACTTGCTAACAAAACGGAAGAAAATGTTGTATTAGTATCTTACTAGTAATATTGACATAAACAAACAGGTGTTAAGACAAGGAGCGTGACTGTGCATTGGTATTTTAAGTATTTAATGTTCACACGTTTTATATCAATGCTAATGTGAAGAGGTCACAAAACATGTAGACATATTTCTCGTAGTTAAAATTACGAATTGCTTAAGCACATCACAAAGGCCATACGTATACAAATAACTTAAAATGTTTTGAACGTAAGCAGTTCATGCCATGTATATGAAAAAACATTTATTTAAAAAACATTTAAATATGTTTGCATGCAAAATTCTCCAGTTCGTTAGTTATTGTACATATCGCTCTTTTTTTTAATAATCGGCATGATCGGCTATTATGCCTGACGAAGAGGCCCGAGATATTGCAGTTGCCCTTTCACAAAATCTGATTTCATCCCATAAGGGGCGTCGCGCTTCGGCGCGGACGCCAATAAATATGCTACACCAGAGACATAGATGTCTCTGGCTACACCAATGACGTTATCACGTACTTCAAAAGAAGTACTGATGAATAATCGTCACAGTTATGCAAAATTTGCTAAATGAGACACCCATGGCACCGCTTGCCGACATTCATGAACAATTTTGAAGTTGGAATCGATTAGGTGATACGAACATAGGTTACGGATATACTAGTATTCGTCCATTATTATATTGCACTTAAGTTTTTTCCGTCCAACATTCAAGTTATTTTTTTAACATTATTGCATTTTTTTTCTAGGCTGCGAGTCCTGCTTGTACAGAGTTGGAGATTGTAGTTTTAGATTGGATAGGTAAATCATTACTTTTGGAATGGTATTTGTACATGTTAAATTCAATTCAAACAAATGGCCAAGAAACAATCTGAAAATAATACGCCATCTTGAATACTGTGGATGATTTTTATAACATAATTGTGTTTTCTAATGTGTAACAGCGCTCTCTCTTGTTCAAATTATGATGTTTAAAAACAAATGAATTGATAAGAAACGCATAACAAAATATATTGAATAAAAGTAATTGAAAGAAAATGCATAACATAGTTATGAAGAATTGAATAAAAAATTAATTTCAAGATAATACATGTATATAACAAAGTTATAAAAAATTGAATAAGATTAATTGGAAAAGAAAACTGTGAAAAATTGAAGAAAAATTCATTTAAAAACATTAATATATGAGCGAATATTATTCAGGCACTGTAAAGATAAAGAGGCAACTAAAGGACATTCTCTACTTGGCAATAAGCACTTCTTGTATCCCGGCTGTATGCCTTTATGTTGTTTTTCACAAATGCATATCAAGACTTAATGTTGCATTTGAGAAAAATAATTTTGATGATGATGATGATGACGACGATGACTGTGATGATGATGATGAGGAGGAGGAGGAGAACGACTACTGGTACGGGGGCGGCGGCGACGACGACAACGATGATGATGATGATGATGAAGCAATAATACTTTTACTACTACTAGTACTTATAATAATAATTATTATTATTTTAATGATAACAACAATAACAATAACACATGGTTGTTTGTGTTTTCTTTTAGGAAAGCTTATAAAACTGCCGTCAGCATTTCTTCATGAAGGAGGTCAGGGCGGAGGTGTTATACAGGTAGGAAATACCGGAAGATTCCAGTAAAATCACGTAGTAATGATATTTATTGAAAGACAACCTGTTCAGTTGCATATCGCTTGATTTGATATTCTATTTAGATATATTTGTAAAGGCAGGTAAAATGTACTAAAAAAATTTCAAGCCTGTACTATCATACTTTTTTCAAACTCTTTTGTTATTTTAGTGATTCAGCAAATATGCTTTGTATTGAAACAATCACGTGAATCATAGAAGAAATAGAAATCAGTATAAAACGTTTCTTAACGGAAAATTTAACCGCTATTTTTACTAGGTTTGGAGATGATTTTTAGCATGCGCCCACTGTGGCGCCGTTATATGTCGCAACGCCGCTAAAAGTAGCTCTTTCCGTTAAATGTAGCACCATTGCCGCTAAATGTCAAAACCCCCGCTAATGTCGCAAAATCTTCTGTCGTTATATGTCGCAATGGTAACGTTAAATGTTTCTTTTTTGTTGTCGTTAAATGTTGCACCACTTCCGTTTAATGTCGCAATATGTATATTCATGATATAGTTAAGTTAGCTTGTGGTATAGCATTTCATAAATACCTATGTTACTATATTTAGTAACGCTTGTTACGGTATTTTAAGGCCATTATGGCAAAATTTAGGTCATTATTCAATTTGCTACATAACGGATGTTTAGTCTGGCTTATGTGTAAATTTATTTTGGTTCCAGCGGTGTAAAGGTAAGCGAGTATCATCAAGGATATTAATTAATAGTACCGACAAAGATGATTTGAATTTCAACCAATTATTGTGTACTTCACAGCAAATCCTTTCCTGTTTTATAGATAGCTAGTCCCTAGATCACTTATATAACGTTAATATGCTAACAGTTGTTTAATTGAATTTAGTTATTGCGACATTTAACGGTAGTGTTGTGATACTTAATGGTAAGGGATATTATTGCGACATTTAACGTCACCATTGCGGCATTTAACGTCAAAATATTTTAAGACATTCAGCGGCGGTTGCGACATCTGGCGGGAAATAGCGCGACATTTAGCGACAAGCGCGACAATAAGCGTCGTTGCGACATATGACGGCGCCACAACCCACCGCTTCTTTTGTAATTTACAAACATCTTTTTTTTAAAAATTATTAATAAATATTTTCATATTTTTTATTAGAATGAAATGTAAATAAGAGATAACAAACAACCAAGTTTTATTTGATGCCCTGTTAGGCTGAAATAGATACAAAATGTAGTATATAAAGGTAAATATATATTGTTTTTGAATTTGTTTAAAGGGTTCTGCTAGCGAATGTGTCTTGGTCACATTGCTGGCGTCGCGTCACGCCGCGATAGAAAGGGCGAAAACCTATCCCTATATTGATGATGGATACGTTCTCTCCAAATTGGTTGCTTATTCGTCAAAACTGGTAAGCCATTTTGTGACTTTAACCCTTAATAGGCTGAATTTCAAAAAATGAACTTGTCCAGCTTTCACTTTTTGGAACCGTCCATTATAAGTTTTGGTGACATTAAGATGAATATTTAAAGTTAGTCAGCCAACGGTGCAAACTGTCTTGGTTTTAAACCGATGTATAAATCGGTGCATGCATCATAAGTTGAATATCGGCTTTGCTAAATGAGACCCCCCCCCGAACCGTTTTCAAATGTTTATGATTATCTTGAAATTTACAACGATTACAATTTTGCTAGATTATGATTGAAGTTATGATGATGATGAGGACGAGAATGAGAAGGAGGGGAACAGTGAAATCTGGAAAGCAGCAATTTGATACAATTCGTTTAAATTGCCAAACTTAAAAATTTTATACGGATAGTTACGAAATATTCCGAACTTTTACGAACTTATAATAAACACCCTAACACCGAGTTATCGTGATTCTATCGTAATGTACAACAATTTGCAGGCACATTCTTGTGTTGAGAAGGCTGGAATGATTGGGTTGGTGAAAATGAGGCAGCTTGACGTAGATGACAACTATGCTCTCCGTGGATATACTTTAGAGAGAGCTATTGAAGTATTGCTTTCTTTCATTCAATTTTTTTTTTGTATTTATATTGCATCCACGTCGTTCAGAAGGAAATGTACTGCTATATGCATAATTGCCTTTTTGCTGGGATTAAAGACTTTATCTCATAGTAGGGACCGTGTTGCTGAACTATGGTAGACATTTTGTCTTCTTTTACTGTTTACTTTATGGGTAACAAAGAATATTTCCATTTTGTAATTATAATGATGATGATGATGATGATGATGATGATGATGATGATGATGATGATAACGACAACAACAACAACAATAAAAAGGGCGAAGCAAACGGCATTAACCACTCTGATTCAGATGCCTTGTCGATGTTGTAAATGTTTCGGTGTTGGCTTTGTACTAGTAAACATTTTTTCTAATATTTATTCAAAAACTATAACTTCTCATTGGTAATCATAACGCCAGTTTAACAAAAACCATTATCTAACAGAATCTAAATTTGAGCCACCAATATTGATCCCATATTATGATTAACCTTATAATTTAGAAATAAGAAAAGCTGAAAAATTATATTGAGCAATTCTGTTAAAAAAGGCTCTTGATATATTGATTAAAAATACTGTTCTTTTTTATACTTTGTAAAGGAGGACCGCAGGATGGGACTTATACCATTTTATGTAAGTTTTATCATTAATCTTAATATATAATCACTATCAATGACGTTTATGAATTAAGATAGTGATGAGAACAAAATTGTCGAAATTTGAAATGCCTTTAAGTTATTGTAAATTGACTAGATGTCGGTGAAAATAAATTCATAGATTACGTATGGAATTTCTTGAGGAATTAATTTTTCTACAACTTGGTTTATCGGAAATTCTCCATGACGTCACGGCAAAGTGCGATTCATCTTTAATAAGTATTGAACTATCGCACCCTTCTCCATTTAAATTAACACACTAAGTGGTTTGGAATGAAATTCAAAACATAGTTTTTGCTAAGTTTGACATAAAAATGAAGAAAACGCAGTAATCTTAAAAGTTGCCTTTGAGTATAAATGAAAATTAAAGAAAATGCGATTGTTCACATATGATGATGTTATCATCAGCATTTATATTTTTGATTGTTAAGGTTTGTGCCACTCTCGGTACAACAGGCTGTTGCTCTTATGACAACATACAAGAACTTGGAGAGGTATGCGCCAAGGAACGTGTCTGGCTCCACGTTGATGCTGCATATGCTGGGAATGCGCTAATATGCCCCGAGTACCAGCATTTACTTAAAGGGGTGGAGGTCTGTTTGTTCTTTTTTTTTTAAAAATCATTTTCCAAGCACGAAATATTTTGTGTATCTAAATGTAAATGTATTACATGTATAAATAGAAAATGATTTGTCAACACGTTTCTAAGAACATTGCAACGTTGTTTTTTCTTCTTATGATAGACACTTATCAAAATTAATTTAGTAAAGTGCTGAAATGTCATTTTCTTGTCCATTTTTTTCATGAAGCTTTTTACTGTGGCTCAGAATACTTGGCGTTAATGTACGATTTTTTTCTCGTGTATTATCAATTATGATTTTCCCATGGGATATAATTATACTATAACACTAATTGGTTACTATTAACTCTGCCTAATGGAACTTTAAAAAGATCATGCATTAATGAATCAGTCTATAAAAAAGTACATTTCAGAACACAGAATATTACTAGAAAAAAAGTAAATTTAAGGAATAAGACTAGAAATATATACATTTCAAAATAAGACTAAGAATATTTAAAGAAAAATAAGAAATATGAGAGAATATTTTACTCGCATGTACAAAAATAATGTAAAAACGTTTTGTATATTTCAGAATGTGTCGTCAATAAATTTTAACCCAAACAAATGGATGTTGGTGAACTTTGACTGCTCTCTCATGTGGTATGAATGTTTACATACGAATATTTAATGAATCTTTGATGATAAAATAATATATATTTATTTATATATATAAGTTATAAGCTCCTGTCGAAATTAAAGCAAAATAAATAAATAAATAAATAAATAGATAAATAATAAAAAAATAATGATGATGATGATAATAATAATAATAATAATAATAATAATAATAATAATAATAATAATGATGATGATGATGATGATGATGATGATGATGAGGATGATGATGATAATAATAATAATAATAATAATAATAATAATAATAATAATAATAATAATAATTACCGTGCTTATTATCTTAAAAGGATTTGTCCACCTTTAAATCTGGCCTTTATTCTTTTTTCCAGGGTGCGTGATCGCAAAGCACTCACAAGTGCGTTGACGGTTGATCCTGTATACCTGCAGCACGAGCATGATGGTACGTCACATCCTGTTACTATAAATAGATAATTGAATGTATTAAAAGATCACAACTTCAGTTTCTATGTAACAATACGTAACAATAATAAGTACACGATGCTGCGTCACATGTTCAAGTTAAAAATGTAGATGGTACCTGTAGACTGAATATAAATACATGTATCTTCACATACAATGTACGTGTATGTAATCGACTGCTGTCTCACGTTGAGCGGACATTATTTTTCTAATTCATTTCTTTTTATATATTATGTATTATAAATGTTTGTAGTAGGTCTTATACATCATCAGATTATTCATTGTTTGTTTGTTATACGTTACTCTGTCCATCAAGTTTGATAATGATACTATAAATGTATAATGTGAGAAGATAAAAATGGCGGATGATAATTTTCATTGAATTTTACATTTTCTATATTTCAGATAAAGAATTGGATTTTAGGGTAAGATAAATATTTTATTGAAGCAAATATTCATCAAAATCTATTTCGTTTACAAAGAAGTTTTTTGGACAATCAACTTAATTTTACTTCCAGTCATGAAAATGTGCTTGTCTTACAAAGTCTCAATACTACGGAAGCGTCCTGGTGCCAATTTAACATGTTCTATAAAAAAAGATAACTCCTATGTAGGACTTTGTAGCTCCTACGTAGGATTTTAACTCCTACGTAGGAGATAAAAAAGCCTAATTAGGAATTTTAAAGTCCAACGTAGGAGTTCATTAGTCCTTGGTAGGACTTTATTAGTCCTACGTAGGACTTTATAACTCATACGTAGGAGATATAAAAACCTAATTAGGAGTTTTAAAGTCCTACGTAGGAGTTTGTAAGTCCTACGTAGGACTTTATAACTCCTACGTAGGAGTTAAAAAAGCCTAATTAGGAGTTTTTAACTTTATAAGTCCTACGTTGGTCTTTTTAGCTCCTACGTCGGACTTTATAAGTTCTACTTAGGACTTTATAACTCCTACGTAGGAGATAAAAAAAACCTAATTAGGAATTTTAAAGTCCTACGTAGGACTTATAAAGAGTTAAAAAGGACTTTTAAAGTCCTACGTAGGTGTTATAAACTCCTAATTAGGCTTTTTTTATCTTCTACGTAGTAGTTATAAAGTCCTACGTAGGAGTTTTAAACACCTAATTAGGCTTTTCTATCTCCTACACAGGAGTTTTCAATTTTTATAGAACGTTAAATTGGCACCAGGACGCTTCCGAACGCTATATATGGAAAAAGATAAGTAGTCAGAGTTTCTGGTTAAGGTAACTAACTATGTCGCTTTCACGACCAAAAACCATATACTAGTTGTCTCCCTTATTCAAATGAAAGACGTTAATTATTTTATTTTTAGCATTGGGGAATTCCGTTAAGTCGGAGGTTCCGGGCTTTAAAACTATGGTTTGTTCTGCGAATGTACGGCGTTGACGGGCTGCAAAACTACATAAGAAGGGTAAGTTCAGAATTTCAGTGGTGAAACTTTACAATATTCTTATTTTACAACGTTTTAATAAACCACAATCGTTCCTGCGTAGAGTTACATCAAAACTTCCGGTAAGTATATAAATATTTTCAGACACACTTTGTAATCATATATTGTTAATGATGTCGGGTTATGACGTACAAACAGAAGACGCTCTCGCTTTCTTTTGGTCATTTAGTACGCCCTATTAGTACATATTTGTCACCAGAGAGTATTTTCTTTCATTATGACGTCATCATTTGAGAAAATATCAATATGGAGGCTTCGGTCCCTTAGTGTCCATAATCTTTATCGTGCATACATTGTTATGGAACTATGTTAAGCATAAAAAGTATAAACACAACCGTAAAAGTTGCAAATACAACGTCGATTATAAAGATTTATTTCTTTATATTATAAACATATTCACCAACAAATGATTTATCCTCTTTATATATTCCTGTTTTAAGCACGTAAAATTGGCGAAGTTGTTCGAGGAGTACGTGAGGAATAACGATCTATTTGAGCTGGTTGGCAAGGTGACAACTGGACTTGTTTGCTTCAGGTTAAAGGTTCGTAAAATAATAAGTTGATCCAAAGCTGTCATAATTTCACCGCTTGAAAGAAAATTGTGTTGTAACGAGAAAATATAATGTATATGCTATAGTGTAAATTATTTGAAGGATTCATTAACGGTCAGTCTACAAATAAGTTTTATAGCTTTTATACAAATTAAAAGAAAACAATCTAACTGACGCTATTTCCAGAACCTTCGTAAAATTATAAAATTAATAATACGCGTGCGTTTTTTATTTATGTGAAACAAACTAAAATTAAAATCCTTATCATTCATATTATAATTGAAATAAACACAACAGAAATGTTGCTGACACATGTGTATATCAAATAGAAATAATTATGTCCGTTTTTTCCTTAAACTAGGGACCAAACGCTTTGACACAGAGATTGCTGAAGAACATAAATGAAGGCCGTAGAATACACATGGTACCAGCCCTTGTGAATGAGTATTACGTCATCAGATTTGCTGTTTGTGCCGAAACGGCAGCCGAAGACGATATCAAATACGCATGGAAAGAGATTGCAAACGCAGCTGAAGATCTGATGTCATCAAAAAGTGAGCTTGAGAAAACGAAAGTGTTCGATAAATTCGATTTATGCGAGTTATCCGAAACAGAAAGCGAAGATGAAGTGTTCGACCAAGAATTATTTGACCCGGAACTGATCTTCGATCAACAGCGTTCCACATTGAAACGCGCGTGCGAAAGGCGGAACTTGTTTCATAGAATGGTCTCAGATCCAAAGGGATTTAATCGAACACTTTTGAGAGCCCTCAGCATTGATGGTCACAGGAAGATCAGAAGTGAGTCAGATCTTGAAGAAGAAAACCCCGAGTTACAAAAGAATAGCCAAAAGAAAAAATCCGAGTCATAAATAGACAAAATATTAAAACATGTAGCGATTTGTTTATAGAACAGAACATAATTCTATTTTGATCTGTACTGCGTACATAATCATACAAAATAATACAAAATATTAATCAATACAATATATTTTCAACACAAACTTAAAATACATAAGTATTATATTTTGAACACAATGTCAGGTAAGCATGTATGTGCCATTATTTTAAAATGTGACTTCAATTAAATAAAAATAGATATCTTGTTGTTGAGGATAAACTTTTTGTCATATAATAATTAATTGATAGAATAAAAATATGGATTAACATACCAAACTGTCATATGGAACATCCCAAGATAACAACAATATTATGTATGTAAATTTTCAACACAACTTCTTTTAAATACAAATATATGTCAAGTTGGCCAATGAAATACATACCCAAGTATTTTGACTTTTTATTCTTTTAAAAAGTGCTTACTTGACAAGTATTTTTGGTAGTAGCTCCTTGTGTGCAATGTTTTAAGATAATGCTCTGGAGTGACATACCCCCACCCCCTCCACCCTAAAAAACCCACGAAAACATCGGACAAAGCAAATAGTGGTCAGTAAAAACAATGTTATAATAGTTACTAAGTTAAACTTAAATTGACACTTAAACAATACAATATTTAAAGTGATCTATTATAAATGAAAAGGATTATTGCAATGCTTTTATTCAAGCATTTTGGAATTATTATTATTTTTTTAAAAAAATTCAAACAATATTTTTTGAAGCAGATATATAACTTTTTACACTTTTAGTATAAAACAATCAAACAACGTTTGCTGTATTGCAAAGTATCATACGTAATGGTTTTTATTTAAACACCTTTAAATATATTGTACAAGGCTACAATGTTAGTTTGGATTACTTAAGTGAATATTTTATTCAAAGACTGTAATTGAAGCTTTGAAGTTATTCAAGCAGCTTCATAGGGACAAAACAGGCACTATGGTCATATGGAGAAAAAATGGGCGTGGCCCATCAACAATCAGTTCAAATTTTTCGTTACATTGTTCGGTGTCAAATTGACACGTGTCACGCTATCAAGTGACTTCATCAAGAAAAATAGTAAAATTTTAAAATCAAAATGATTTAAAGTACTTGTCTTCAGAAAATTGAAACTACGTCATAATATACTGAAATCCAATAGTTTACTTGAATTTCACCATACATGTTGTTCTTTTTTTATACGTATATTTGTTGATTCCAATCTTAATCGCTGCTGCAACAACAACAACAACAACAACAACGACAACAATGAACAGCAACGTTAAATGTATGAAATAATTCAATAAAGTAGAAAGGAACGTCAAAGTTCTTTGTAACTTTAAAAAGCAAAGTTTCTTCACTAAATTATGCATGACTTGCTCGTATCAATACCAATACACCTGCGTTCTGTACTATTCAAGAATGCCTGACTGTCGTGAACATATAGTTGAAGAATTCCACAAGTTTTACCTGGAAATAAATCAATAACACATCATCGACATATATATGCAACTGGAGACATAAATGCAGGAAAAAAACAACAACTTCTTAGCTAAGTTAATGTTCATCAATAAAAAATACTGAGTTAAAAGAATCACATTGATTTGGAAAAGATGATTACTGATTTTTAAAGCTTTTAAGGAAATAACTTTGTTGAAATTATTATCATCTACTGTGAAATATTTGTTATATTATTATCTTATTATTTTACTACTCCTTATTGCAAGCAAGTGTTGGTCACGTGTCCTTATAATTCTGGCCTAACTTCGAACATGATTCGGCTGATTGTTGCATATGGCCGTAGACCTGCATGGAAATCAAACTTTCATATTAATTTTGTGTCATGTTGTGGGCGATACGAAAAATGAATTAATACATTGAGATTTGTGTGTATAACCTACACATAAACGTGGTCTGCTTATTTGATATATTTTTGTTATGACATCTTTTTCTAAATCTTTGAATTCCGCTAAAGGCGGTGCTATGGGGCGCCTATGGTACGTGTATAAACACCACTACACAAATCTATGGCAATTCAGTTAAATCTGAACAACCGGCGTAAAGGACACCCAAGCATACAAAATAACGTGATGTACCTAACCTTCATAATGATTTGATTTAAAAGTTTTGAGACATAAAACCAATAGCTGCAAACTGTCTAACAATGCGTTCCAGACTGAAAAAAATGTATAAGACTCCTTAATAATTCAATTTGAAATGTTCTTAAAGGCCCATTCTATACAGAAAATGTTATAACGTGTCCTTTTTGTATTTTATTCATACCTTTTAAATTTGGTGTTTTGTTTCTGAAACATTATTCATTGGTCATAAAGCTGACCGATCATTTCCAGTTAGCAATGCTAGCAATTAATAAAGTCATTGTGAATTCTGTTTTTATGAATTACAAAGTATCACTTTGATTACTCTTGTCTTCTTGTATGACAATTATTCCATATTCAATGATGTTTTCATCAGGTGGTGAACCGTACTTTATCTTAATCCATTATTTGACTATTATAAATGTTTGCCTGTTTTAGAAGAAAAAAATCAAAATATCATAAAAAGCCAAGTTTGCCTGTTTTAAGAGACAAAAATCATATTTATTTCTAAAGCGGTATGTTCCTTTTAGTGTAAAGACAATTTATGCTGAAATTGCATGGTGCTTAACAATGTTGAAACGTGATCCATTTGAAGTCAGTGTTACAGAACGGGAGACATTTAAATATTTCAGTCTGTCGGAAGGAATGTGCACAAAAGGAAATCGATTTCATTTTCCTGTACATAGGCATTTGGTTAACAAGTCCATGAAGTTGGCAAAGAGATCGACATTAAACATTCAGCTCGGCATTAGACTTATCAGTGTTGAACTGGTATGGGAAGCTGGCAAGACATTTAGCAGAACATTCATTCGACATTCGATTTATTAATGTTGAGCTGGGATGTGAAGCTAGCTACACATTCAGCACAACATTCAGCACGACATTCGTTTTTTCTCAATTTTTGAATGTCGAGCAGGGATGTGAAGCTGGCTAGACATTCAGCACAACATTCAGCTCGACATTCGTTATTTGTCAATTTTTAAATGTTGTGCTGGAATAAGAAGCTGGCTAGACATTCAGCACAACATTCAGCTAGACATTCGAATTTTGTCTATTTCTAGCCAGCTTCACATCCCAGCTCGACATTCAAAAATAGACAAATTACTTAGTTTGAGCTATTAAATAATTTTTCCTTCGTACTTATGTCAAAACGACAATACAAGCATTAAACAAATATAACCTGTAAATGTCCTTTATTTAATTTATGCAATTTAAATGCACCAACCCTCAGAAAAAAAAGTCTTGAGTCGTCGTGGCATATTGCCTTAATATACTGTTTATCAATCTTATCTATTTTGTAAATAAATGTTAACAAATGATGCCATATTCTTCTGTTGTCGTTTTGTGTACAATGCTGACATGTATTTCTAAATGGAAAAAGCAACCTCAAAGATGAACGGGAAAATCCAGACAACAGAAAAGTAGGTTTCATTCTTGATGAAAACACTGCGCAGTGTGTATTTTTAATTAGTTCTTAATGTCTGGGTTCATCATTCTGCTATTTGTGGAAGACAAAATGAACACAAGCAAAGAATTTGGACAAAGATTCACTTTAATCCACTGCTAAAATCGAGAGGTGATTTATCATTTTGATTTATTTTATAGAGAATAAACAAATTATTTTGCCTTTGTTTATTAAAATGTAAAACAAAGCAATGTATTTTTTAATGCAAACGTTTATTTTGCCCCATTCGATTGTATTTTACTTTACTAGCTGTGGTCAGTCGGTCAATCCACCAACAGTTGTCGTTCATTTTCTTCGCTGATGTTGCACATACTGAAATGAAATTTTGTATACAGATTGATCATAGGAATATCTAGGTCAAGGTATGTTTTGGGTATGATCGAGCACATTTTTACATAGATATGCCCCTCGGACTGAAAATTACCAAAGTGAAACCACTCTGTGTTGTAAAGTGAGAAGTAGAATAATATAGAGGGCGTTGGATACTCTTTCGTGTCTAAAAAGAGTGTCAATAATTGATCTCATTCACAAGAAAAGTAGAGCTTGGGATGCTGCTGAGGGAAACCAAACAAGGGTATAAATTCTTTCAATGAACTTACATGCAGTTCTAAACAATTGTCGGTGAGAAATAAAGAAGTGGTAAACTAGAAGGTTATCTTTCCTTTAGTAGGTCTTGCAAAAGGCCTCTAAATAAATTGATAACTTCTTGGTGAGTTATTAAATCAAAATCTAGGTGTTGTCCTATTTTTTCATCCGAAGAAATGGTTTGAATTTGCTTAAATAAAAGCATCTATTTTAATATTGAGTCTTCATTGTTACTCTACATATACATGTATAAAATGTATTTATCTTCGAACGGATAAACGTTTTAATTTCGCGCTAGCATCAAATCATTTTCTTATTGTTTTCAGGAATAATAGCTAAGAAGTCAAGTAAAAGATTTTGTTCCATTGCGGGCGATAAACAGCGACTGACGGACGACAAACGCAGAGCGACCACACTAGATTACCTTAAGCTTGTATGCTTAGTTTAGCTGAAACTTCGGTGGCATCTTGTTACCAAAATAAATTTTCCAGACAAGTCGAATGAATGTGACGACAGGATCATTTGTATCTGAAAAAGAATCCTATATACATTGTATCTATATAGTATATTATTTGCTCGAAGAATAAAGGAAAACAAGTAATTTATCATAAGAATGTACTTTTTTTCTGACCGTCTTGATACGTATAGCATACCAATCTGCTTAAGAAACCTAAACTTGCTCTAACCTCCAAAGTCTTCGTTTCAATATGAACTGTATTACTTTTTTGTTGAGTGATTTATTTGTAAAGTTTAGTTTTAGTAATCTCTCACCAACGCATCAGTGCTAGGGGCGTGACTTGTAACATACGTTCAACACAACTATCGCCTTTCATAAAACCATAAATTAGCTCAATCTTGTCGTATTGTCGGTCTTTGAGTGTTGGTGCTATATACATTCGTCAGGTTTCCACTTGCAGTAGTTTTGTTTTCTTTTTCTGAATATTAATTCGTTACAGAACTAGGACATTATTATTTCATATACTTAACCTTCTACAAATCCAAAATCTCGTGGTCACGACTTAGTAACTCGTGGCGACGACATAGTATCTCGTGGCCACGATTAAGCTATCTCGTGGCCACGAGTTACTAAGTCGTGGCCACGACATAGTATTTCGTGGCCACGAGATGAATAAAAACACACACATGTTACCTTTGGGCCACGCACAAATGGCATGTGCGCATGCACATGTATAATACTTCTAAATAATTCAGTTCTAACGCATTTCAACCCTTCAAAGACAAGAAGAAAAGGCTGAAGTATAATCTCACACGAAAGGTAGAATCAAACAGATTAACAAATAAGATTTCAGAAGAGCTTATAAATGAACAAGAGACCGACACTTATTTTTCATCTATGTCAAACCTGAGAACGGCGAATAAATCATTTTAGCATCGGTTTATCGTATATATTAAAGTTGTAGAAAATGGAGCTTAAATTGGACGGAACACAGATTTTACTTTTGATTTCAGTGAGTTTGTCTTTGGTAATTTGTTTCAAAATTAAAATCGATCGGTACAAAATTGAGCGACCAAATCCAGGGATAAAAGCCTGTGCGGTTATTCACAGTGGGAAGGTAAAACATTAATAATATTCATAATATTCAAAATTTAAAAATATTGTAACAAAATTGTATAGATATATACGTAGTGTATATCATATGACATTCACTTCAGTTATTCATTAAGTGACAAAAACTAGCATAGTTTGGTTTATATGGTTGCCACAAGTTTTTTAAAACTATGTTTGACTGTTCGAATGCCTGTATTAGAAAATCGACCAAAAATGCATGAAAACGCATTTTCTCTAACTTTATTTACAATAAAAAATAAAATGTAAATTAAGCTATGAACTTATGTTCATGTTTAAAACCTATTCTAATTTATTTCTTTACTATTTTTTATCAGCATGACAAGATCTAACTTAAACTAGAGGATGCTTTTGTAAAAAAGCGCATGTCTCCCCCACTGCTGAGAATAAATGCTGGGAAGAAAATGACCGCATAAGGGTGGAAAGATAAAAAAAGAACGGAGTATATAAAACCAGACAACTGATATATCACTGATATATCAATAATAGTTAAATGTCCTCACTGATAAGAACTCTAGTTATCATCCGGAAATGAGAAAATGACCAATGGTCACTGTGACCTTAACCTTTGACCTACTGACCCCATAAACAAGAGGGATCATCTGCTCAATAAGACCAATCATCCTATGAAGTTTGAGGGTTGTAGTCTAAAGGAACTCTAGTTATCATCCGGAAAGGAGAAATTAACCAACGGTCGCTGTGACCTTGACCTTTGACTACTGACCATTAAAACAATAGGGATCATTTGATTAATAAGACCAATCATCCTATGAAGTTTGAGGGTTGTCGGTCAAAAGGAACTCTAGTTATCATCCGGAAATGAGAAAATTGACCAACGGTCACTGTGACCTGACCTTTGACCTACTGACCCAAAAACAATAGGGATCATCTGCTCTCTATAAGACCAATCATCCTATGAAGTTTGAGGGCTGTAGGTCAAAAGGAACTCTAGTTATCATCCGGAAACGAGAAATTGACCAACGGTCACTGTGACCTTGACCTTTGAACTACTGACCCCAAAAACAATAGGGATCATCTGCTCAATAAGACCAATCATCCTATGAAGTTTGAGGTCTGTAGGTCTAAAGGAAACTCTAGTTATCATCCGGAAACGAGAAATTGACCAACGGTCAGTGTGACCTTTGACCTTTGACCTACTGACCCCAAAAACAATAGGGATCATCAGCTCTATAAGACCAATCATCCTATGAAGTTTGAGGCTGTAGGTCAAAAGAACTCTAGTTATCATCCGGAAATGAGAAATTGACCAACGGTCACTGTGACCTTGACCTTTGAACTACTGACCCCAAAAACAATAGGGATCATCTGCTCAATAAGACCATTCATCCTATGAAGTTTGAGAGCTGTAGGTCAAAAGGAACTCTAGTTATCGTCCGGAAACGAAGAATGGACGGACGGACGGACTGACGGACGGACGGACTGACGGACGGACAGGGCAAAAACAATATGTCTCCCCCCGAGGTGGGGGAGACATAAATGAATTTATATTGATAACTTTCAGAGTGATGTTATTGGACTGAGTGTTTCTAAGGACACGGGAAAATGTGTCGGAATATCTCGGCTTTCTGCCGAACCTCATTCCCCATCCATAGATGACGGATATGCTGAAAAAGTACATATTGAGTCAATCTTTAAGCCAGCGGTAAGCAGCTTTATCGTTTTACATGTTTTGTTTTAAAAACCCTTTATTCGTTATTTCTATTGAACTGCAATTAATATATTGATTCTTATTCACAGTTTAGTAATATTCATACTGCTTGTTTACTTGAATTTACAATTTATATATTTATTTACTTAAGCTCTATAAGATGATATAAATGGTATAAATGGCTCACTTAGATACTCCTATTCAAAGATGATATATAGCATTATGTAGTTTTGGATTTAATTCATGTTTAATTTAACTTTCTTTTTTTAACGAATATGTACAACTCTCTTAGTTTTGAAATACAGCAGTAGTGACCACATCATCTCAAGAGTTTTTGGCATTTTCAGTGTCTTGTCAAATGAAATTGTTTTTCTTACACATTTTGAAATTCAAAAACAAACAATAATCAAAAGAGTTGCTGCAAAAAGGTAAAATGTGGGATGTTACTATTATATCATTACTAATAAATATATTTTTTTTAAAAAGATTTTTTTTAAATACTCCTTTTTTTTACACTGATAACCGGCATAACCTCTCAAAATATGATTTTGTTTCAACAACAGTGATGGTAATTTGTTCTTGTTTAAAGTAATAAAGTAAAGGGATGAATGCAAAATCTATTCAGGATCTTAAGTATATAATCGGGGCTATTTCTAAATCTTTTAGTGGTGAAATTTGTGCAAATGTGTAAGACATTTTAGTAAAAAATCAACAATGCAGAAACATAGCGAAGTTCATTGGGTGAAGTCGCAAAGACAACCGAAGTAAATGTATTAATTAGAGCAATGAACAAAATAGGGCACATAGGGCGGAGCATAGAGTACATTGTACCAGTAAATGATAGCACTAGGGTAATTTTGTGTGTATGCAATTTATAATATAATTTTAACCTTACAAATAGAATGATAAAAAATATCGTTTAGTCTCAACAGCCTTCTGTCAGGTTATAACAAATTAGAAATTTTATGTATATATCCATTTTTATGTTTTAGTATGTTATTCCAGACGAATCGTATGTGGAATGGGTGGTACCGGGATTTCTTGGAAATAGATCCCAACTTGATGTCATTTTCTCGTTGAGACCATCGATATATGAAAAGTAAACTATTGTGTTGAGATAAAATCCAAGTTAAAGTTTGGATGCAAGTCAGTAACCGGTTTACATTAATGGAACAAATTTACTTACCCACTTACCCTTTACTATATTATCTTCAATAGAATGTATAGGTGGTCTTGAAGGTTTACAGGTGATCTAGTACATAAGGCAATACGTTATGCATTTAATACAATGTATAGGTTTTTGAATAACTAAAAGAAATTAAAGGCTTACATCTGTATAATTTGTTGTATATCCCGCTTTGCCTTCTATTTTGCAAGTACTGTTTGATATGGGCGAACTTTATACATCATGTGTGTGACGGATGTAGATTTATTTCGAAGTATAGAATTAATTTAGCCTTGTAACACGATTATTGTGGGAATAAATATTGCATTTTTGAATTAAATAAAGGTCGACTCACTATTAGTTTTATTATTTGAAAAGAATAATTTAGTACCATATCATAGCGTAACAAGTCATTGGAATCGATCGAGCTTTTTTGATTCATAAGTATCATGAAATAGTGCTTAACTTTTTCACTTACTCCATATCTCATTCATAAATATTCTGCATATAATTTTGTTCTTTTTGATTCAGTGATAGATATGGCAACAGGCCAAATTTTGATGTGCGGCTGTCGCCAAAATCGTTGAAGTTATCAGAAGGCTTTGGCGGAATTGTGCCAAATAAAACGATGGTCGTGCATTCATCGTAAGTAAAAATAACTATGAATTTACGATTGTGTACTTTGTATGGAAGACAAAATACTTCGTTGTTTACGTTTGGCTGCTTTTATGTCTTATTATGTAACATTCATCGCAGAATCTTTATGCATGCTTTATTCCATTATAAATTCATTATTAAACACATGTTTGTCCGTTCGGTAGAAGAAACATTAAAATGTAATTCATTTCGCAAGGATAATGTGCATATTACTATAATGTATGTATATGCTATTCATCATTTTATATGCATTTTGTCTTTTTCAAGGTTAAACATATAATGTCACTGAATTCAAATGTTTTTTTTTATTTTCTATTTAAACGTCCAATTTTATTTGTTAGTCAGGCATACAAAATGGTATAATAGAGAACAAAATAAAATCAATTAAATAAAAGAATCTTCTCAAATTATCGTTAAAATGGTATTTCAAATATTTGATAACATAGTCTTAGCGAGTGTAAAGAGAGAATTAGACAGAAAGATATATGTTTATGCTTTATATTAAAATGTTGGTTAAAAAGCTTATGATTGCATATTATTTTTCTAGACCTTCTTACGGGCTTATGTGTTATATCAGCGGCGGCAAACCATTACATCATGATTATAAAGTCAAGTCAAATCCAAATCACTTTGCAAAGATATCTTTCACTTTACAGAATGCATTTGTCAAGGTAAAATCATATTTCATGTTTCTAAATGTGTTTTTTCCTCAGCTTAATTATCTCGATTATATACACATATATTTGCCACTATAATAGGTTCCACTTTTGCAAAGTGTTTCTCTTTCTAGAATTTTTAAATTACTCTTACTGATTTAGGGACAAGTTGAGTACCACTTAAAAAACAACCTGTAAATCAATAAATACATCTAAACAGAACTACCTGTTTTGCATTCTTATACCTTTAATAATAATCAGCTTTTTAGCAAAATTGTCCAAATATAATTACTTGAAAAGTAGTGCTCAGTCATCAAATATATAATATCTAAATATCTTGAAAACCTGTTGCTGCTTGAACCTATAAATTTATTCTCGGCAATCTTGATATATCATTTCAATGCTACTTTTGCCATAAGATTTCATCTAAAAATTAGTAAGATTAGTATCAAATAAGGATAAATGTAGAAAAAGTATCTTTCATATATTTACATATACACGGTATTTGACTTAAGCGGACCAAGCCATAGAAAATATTGCAAAAAATTCACGTAACTATTGATCATGATTCAGATCCTGGTTGACGACACGGAGCAATGTAAACGCAGCCTTCAAGTCTTTGGAGATCATTTTGAAACATTTAACCTGCTATATTTCTACATGGAGTATGGTTGGATACATCGCATTCAGTTTGATGGAAATCAGTAATGGATGTCTGACATTAGCAAGAACTTGATTTGTTTGTAAAGTTACATATCCTTCTTTACATATAAACTGTTTGAACAGAAAATTATTAGCCTTTTGCAACCAGTATAAGTCATGTCAGCCTGCATAGGTCCGTGGAGTCTGCCCAGGTACTATACTGTTTTCATCATATGCTAGGTGTCATATTAAAGTTGTACGTCATTACAGTTTTTGTTTAACTTTCTGACTGATCATTGGACACTTACTGTTAAGAATCAAAACTTAAACAAAATATTTCACTTTAAGTTGCTGTAAATATTCTTTTATTTCTGTCCGATCAACCTTCACTTTCATAGCATTTGATCAAAGTCTATCGAGCTGACTGGTAAATTGTATTGTAGTTAAATGTCGCAGATTCTCTATACAGGTTTAGCAATTTAAGAATGAAATATACAGATAAAAGACATTGAACTATTCAATTATCGCTTTAATATTACAAAGTTTAACACGTTAAAACGATAAGTTATTCTTAATACATTGCACTGTTATTGATAAGTATTAGTTTTATAATATTTCTTTTATTCACTATTATGCAACATGGTATCATAATTTAACTCTTTTCATGCGTCCTAATTTTGTTTTGATACAATATGACTGAAATAATACCGTTTTTTCACATATCAGTATTTCAGGATACGAATGTTTCTTATGTCATACTGTAAATGAATTAGTGTGTGATGTGAAAGTGGCAATGATAATATGTGTTATTATGCCCCCACAGAGTGGGAGCATATAGCGTTGCACTTGTCTTTCCGAGTGTCCGTCCTTCCGCACTCACAGGACAGTAATTATGTGGCTAGAGGGACAATAGGTAACTGTTCTTTCTCTTTGATGTCATTCATTCCGTAATGCTTTTATGTGTGGCTATTTTCTTTTGTGTGGCTAAAAAGAACAATAGAGAGAACAATAGAGTAGCCACATAATTACTGTCCTGTGAGAACTTCCGTCTGTCCGTACGTCCCGAAATCTTGTGAACGCAACTCCTCTTAAACCGGATGGCAGATTTTGCTTAAACTTCCAGGGATGAACAACTTTAATGTGTAGATGGTAGTAAAGTAAGGAATTTTTGCTGCGACCAAATTTAACAGAATTATGGCCCTTTCTTTATTTTTTCACTATATACTATGAAGAAATTTTGTAAACGCAACTCCTCTTAAACCAGATGGCAGATTTTGCTTAAACTTCCAGGGATGAACAACCTTAATGTGTAGATGGTAGTAAAGGAAGGAATTTTTGCTGCGACCAAATTTAACAGAATTATGGCCCTTTGTTGATTTTTAGTTTTCAACTTGTGGTCCAAAAATATTTGACCTAGAGTCAAAAGATTGACAGAACAGTGGCGTGTGGGGGCATCTTGTCCTATGGACACATTTTTAGTTTTTGTTCTGTTTTATTGTTGTTGTTTTTTTTAATTGACTTTAGACTCCTCACGCCGAGGTCATATTCTTTTTGTACCTTTTTAACATTTTAATCATGATTCACATCTTGTTATTTCCTTATATATTTATCATCGTATCATACAAATTGTTCTTGTATTGCAGTTGTAACATACTTTGAAACACAACTATTTTTAGTATTAAGTAAATTTACTGATTTCTATTCTTATAATGGTTTGTATGTATTTGTATGAAAAGGAAATAAAAAGGAAATAAAGTTACTTTTTTCTATCATTGTACACATGCTATTGTTATCTTTTGACATTTAATACCCATAATAATATTGATAAGAAGTCTGTTGACTATAAAAAAATTCAGCTACGTTTATATTGTTCTGTTAGTCTGACTATTTTAGTTTTAATAACACTGTTTACATTTTATTGAGACACAACTGTGTTGACAATGCCCTAGTTACATACAGTTAGTTATGGTTGGCTTATTTCATTTTATTGAAGCAATGCAATTATTATTTTTCTCATAAATCTATTCACATAGCAATCACCCTTAAATCGGATTTTAATAATTATCCTGTGAAAAAACCTTAGCACTATAATAACATACAAAACTTTTGCAAAAATTCTCGACAGAGGATATTCACGTCATATGTGCAAAAAGGAGTATTTTTTTTAACAAAGTTCTATTTAGGCAGGGTCACAACTGATGGCCATCTTTGTCAATATATTTAAGGATGCTGACGTGATTTTGTTATTTTCATATAAATCATTCGTGCTCAAAAGCTTGAATTTCACCGTTTCTGTACTGTCAAATGCCTAGACGCATTTAGTTTCAAATGTCTGGCTTCTTTCCAGTTCTGAAAGTGTTTTGACGTCTTTCTCCTTTGTGTAAAATTCCTTTGATGTAAGATCTCAAAACACAAATCATGAATTATTCAAAAACATTGGCTATTATTTCTAGGATTCAGCGATTTGCAAACGTATTATGAGACAACGTAAATTCACGTTTCTGATATTGTTAACGCTGGTATACCAGTCAAGTGTATGGTTGGCTAGATCACTGGTATTCCGGTCAACAAGACGGTTTCCTAGATCACTGGTATTCAGGTCAACAAGACGGTTTCCTAGATCACTGGTATTCAGGTCAATTAGACGGTTTGCTAGATCTCTAGCATACTGGTCAACTAAATGGAAGTATGTGATTGATGGGCTCACTAGAATTCTGATCAGCTAATTGGTTTAATAGATCACTTCAATTCCGGTCAACTAGATATATTGCTAGATCTCTGGTATATCCGTCAGTGATCACTTGTATTCTAGTTATTCTAGTTAGCTAATTGGTTTGCTTTATCACAGTTTTTCTTGTGAACTAGGGTGTTGGCTAGATCCCTAGTATTCCGGTAACCTTGATGGTTGGCTATATTACTGGTATTCCGGACAAGTAAGTATATGATTTTCTTCTATTCTATGAAAGATTTGTATTAGCTCATA